CGGTCGTCTTTGCAATAAGGAAAGAGATCAGGGTTCAAAGGGAATGGGGTTTAGCAAAGTCTTTGGGTTTAGTTATGGTGACATACAGTATATCGAACAAGTGTTTACTGCGGCATCTGTGTGTCTCTAGTGTACATAAATCTGAGCCCCAAACTTGTGTCAAACTCAATAATTTTTTAATTGATTCAGATATAGACCAGTATTCTAGACATACAATTCAGGACTGTCGCTGGGAAGAAGGGCGCGTCCCCCCCCCCCCCCCCCTCCCCGTGTTATATATGTAATAAATCTAGGTCCCGAGATTACTTGACTCTTAGTCTAATTTCAGTCTCACTGACTCTAACTCTAGCCAAAACTCAAGGCTCTATATATCTCTAGCCAAAACGCAAGGCTCTATACACGTCCGTTTAAATCAACGATTCATACATTACTAATTTATTAATACAGGTAAATAGAACTGACCGGAATGGTTGGTCAGGGTGTAAACATGAACATAGATAAAATAGATAACGAAACATAGATAATAAAGATCGTACTAATCATGGTAGCATATATCATTACATATATAATGTGAGGTGAAATAAGTTTTTTTGCTGTATATGAAGTATTTTTCCCCCTCCCCTCTGTTTACCCTGTGAGCCCCCTTCACTGTTCCTGCAAATTTTCGTTTAAACAAACCGCCCCCTCCCCCTCCCCCCCCCGTTCAGAAGAATTAGGGGCGGGTGCTGGATGCCCCACCCCGAGGTTTGACAATTTTTTCCTCCCCCCTTCAGGATGAATCGCTCACTTAGTTGCGCCTATAATTCTCAGCATTCTCAAACCCATTTTAAATTTTCATATAAAAAAAAGCCATTTTGAATGTTTTTCGTCATGTTTTTCATATTGCCAAATAATCTAAATATTTTTTGAATATTTGAACTTTGCACAAGGAACTTTTCAAAGTTAGAATATCGATTTTACAAATGTACATTGATTGGTTTCTGCATTTTTATTTATATGTAGAATGACGTCTACAAAAATCCCCCTCTTCTTTTATAAATGCACATGTTTACCTTGATGTTCAATGATAAAGAGTCTGTACAATTCCCCTGTACAAACTGTCCATCAGCATTCTATACTCTAACCTTTCTCCGGTAACAAAGGAGATCAAAGAAATTGAGTCATTGATTTGCTAATCCCTTTATCTGTACATATGCATCAGGTCAAGGATGTAATGCAAGGAAAGTTATTTCAGAAGTGTACACATCTTTTGTACTGCAGTGTACTGTCTCTGGGCGGTACTGTAAACACAAGACGGATGTCAAAGCCTGACATGAGATCCATCTTTCACATTAAAAAATCAATGAAATATTCTGGTCATAGGAAATTTTTATGTGAATTATCAAAATTATCAAAATTTAATGCTTTTAACCTCCTCGGATACTAAACGAACACTGATGCATCTATTATTGTTTACAAATTCCGCCCAAAGAGAACTGGTTTCAATGTGTACTCAGATCGAGTATACACGACCGCAATTAACTTTCTTTGCATTACACCCTTGCATCAGGTTGAAAAAAATATGAATATTAGAATGCTTGAGTTTGTGGCACGGACTCAATTCCTTTCTCAGCATATTTTAATTTCATTCATTAAACCATAATTTGTACTTTTCATGCATGGAATGTTGTTCTAACTTTTATAAATTGAATCGTTGAGTTCTCTCATCCTACCGCAGAGTTGGTCAAACTTTATTCTCAAACTCTGAGTTCAGAGATAAATCAAAGCCATGACATCAAAGCAAATATGAATATTGTATGATTTGCACTTTACTCTGAGTCTCCTTGGGATTATTCCAAGGGCTTTATATGTATCATCATATATGCATTTCTTTGTAAAAACCTGGTCTTTTCGCATGCTAAGAAATTCAGCTAATCCATGTTAAAACCATCTCTAACCAAAGGAATAGTTTTATTCTAACAAAATTAGAATCAATCAAAATTTAAATTGAATCGATCAATTATTGAGACACTTTTCACTGTATTATACATATACGTTGATTATACAATACATACTTCATAGCAAATGCTTTACATCTAAAGCCAGAAAAAATACACATCCATCTAGATTTTTAAATGTTTTATTATTTGACAGATTACTTAATTAACTTTTGAAACTTTTTTCCTATTTTTCGTATTTTATATTTTTTCTATTTTCCATTTCAGACTCTTTTTTGCCAGGTTTTGATTACAATGAATAATTAAAAATAAGAAATTATGGTATTTTTTTAATTTTGAGACTTCAAATGGTTTATTCTATATAGTTTTCTGTAATATTTTACAGAAGTAACAAACAATTTTAAAATACTCCTTTAGCACTGCAAGCTATTGACACAGGGTTGAGGTCTAATTTATTCTACAATACTGGTCCGTCTTTGTTACTCCTTAGCTCCTGTAGTTATAATTTTACTGACAATTGTAGGAGAAAAGCTAATATATCCGGTTTTATATATATTATAGATTCAAAACATTTTTCTTTAAAAGCTCTATAATTATGAAAACATTTAAGATTTCAATATTATGTAGAATTTATGACATACATGTCAGAAGAACACATTTTATTGTTTCAATAATTCTGAGGGTTCTTTGTTCAAAACTGTTTAGTAAAAATATGACTGTATGTAGAAGTATAATCCAATTTAGTAATATTTGGTTTATATAATATCTATTATGCTACTATAAGTGACAATGACATAATAAACAAATATGAACAAAAAGTCGGACAACATAAATGTATTTAGATAATTTGGAAAACATAATAAAGAAAAATATGTTAAAGGGACTGTAAGCGAAATTCAAGTAACTCTTCAGTCAAAGATTGCAATGCCTGATTAACAACAGGACATTAACAACAGGACATTTACAACAGTACATTAACAACAGTACATTAACAACCGTACATTAAAAACAGTACATTAACAACATTACATTAACAACAGTACATTAACAACAGTGCATTAACAACAGTACATTAACAATAGTATATTAACAACAGTATATTAACAACAGTACAGTAACGACAGTATATTAACAACAGTACATTAACAACAGTACATATACAACAGTACATTAACAACAGTGCATTAACAATAGTACATTAACAGTACATTAACAAGAGTACATTATCAACAGTACATTAACAACAGTACATTAACAACAGTAAATTAACAACAGTACATTAACAACAGTACATTAACAAAAGTACATTAACAACAGCACATTTCAAAGCTTTGTCTACCAAGTATGCTTTAGATATCCATTTTTTTATTATTGAAGACTGATTTTTTATCGTGGTCTGCAAAAGTGACTGTTTAAACTGCAGGAAAAATATAATTTAGTTATCAAAATTAAACACCATTAAGTTTAGAAAATCGCAATATTATAAAGATCTATGACCATCAACTAAGCTTATTTTATGGTCACATGGAATTTGAAATTCTAAAATTTCCTTTTGAGTAATTTTTGTGTAGAACATCTTATGAAAAAGTTATAAATGAAGTAATATAAATAAATCAGAAAAAAAAATTGAACTATTAATTAATTTGTATTGGACAAATAAAAGTCGTCTTCATATTCCACAATGTGTTGGGTCTAACTTTTAAGAAAAGATTAACATACATATTAATGAAATAATTTGATTTATAAGATAAACCTAGTATAGTCAGAACCCTCAAATTACTATTGGTTTAGGTAGACAATTTAAAATCCGGTGATGGTGATGGACCAAACCTCTGTAGAGTAAAAAAAGTAGATGTTAGTTCCACACAGTTCCACATTTATTGAAAATATATTGCGGTTTGGGTTGACCCTAGTCAGTTCTAACGATATAATAACTATCAAAATCGAAAAAAAAAATTAAAAATATTGTCAAAAACCACAAGAAAATAAACAAATAAAAAAGATTATTTAAAAAAATTTGGGGCTGTCAAATTGAAATAAGAAAAAGATAGACAGTTTGGACCCCTTTATCTGATTATCATTCGTGTCAATATTTTTTCTTTTAAGGATTCAAAATTGAAATATATTTTTAAATGTGTCTCCAATCGGCTGGTCGGTGTTTAGAAAATGTAAAAAATAGAACTTTTGCATTATTTAAGCTATACAGATCTAAAATTTAATTATTTTTTTTATAAAAATGTATTTATTTGAAAAGCCCTTAAAATGGGTGTAACTCATAGCATGCGTCACGTTTCATGTTTGTCAATTATCAGACGAAAACAAAAAATAGGGTTAATAACTTAATAGCCAAAAACCGGTAAAGATGTAGAAAGTACAGAAATACCACTTTTGTATAACACATGATCATTTAACTTTTTTTATTAATTAGTGTTTTCGATGTAAAAGATTGTTTAAGAGGTATAAAAAGTACAGCTTTGCCCAAATTCAACATTTTTCATCCCGTCGCGTGATCTAGATTAAAAGTTAAAACTATTTTTATTAATTAATGTTTTAGCTGTGAAATATTTTTTAAAGAGGTATAGTAAGTGCAAAAGGTATCAAAAAAGTACAGTTACTTAAAACATTTATCGCGACTATTTTTATTAATTAGTATTTTAGATGTAAATGAATGTTTGAAAGGTATAAAAAATACAATTAACTCACTCTTGAACATTCCTCGCAATAAGACTTTTAAAATATTTCGTTAAAGGGACTGTACGCGCAACTTTAGGTGACCCTTTATGCAAAGATGACAATGCCCTATTTGCAATGTTACCCTTGAAACCTTAATCTGATCAAAAAAATTATTTTTCTGACTTTAAAAGTATATAAGTTCTGATTATTTCTTTATGATTTCATCGATCTTATTTGCAAGAATTGCGCATTTTAATAGAGAAACCGCAAAAGAAAATAATATCTATTTCATACTTGACCAGATTAAAGTTTCAAGGGTAACGTTATAAATCGGGCATTGACCTCTTTGCACAAGGCCCACAGTCCTAGTCCATTTAATTAATATTTTAGGTGTAAAGGAATGTGTGAGAGTGATGCTGACAGGATTGAGTGTGCTCCTGTCAAGGTATTTAATAAATTTATTCTTTAAAAGATTGAAACCATTGTATAGCATGTCAGCTACTCTCTCAAACTTATTTTAACAGGCTAAGATTTTCATTTTCAATAATTCTTTTTTGCAAATGTTTTCCAAATTTCCAAATTCTTGTCTCTCAAATTTTTATTTTCCCAACCTCTTGTGTTCCAAATTTTTGTTTTCCCAAATTCTTGTGTTCAAAATTTTTATTTATTGAACTCTTGTGTTTCAAATTTTTATTTTCCCAAATTCTTGTTTTCAAAATCTTTATTTTCCCAAATTTTGTTTCTCAAATTTCATTTTTTTTAAATTCTTGTGTTTTAAATTTCTATCGATTGAACAAAACTAAGAACTTTTGAACTCAAATTTTTCCTGTTAAACAGACTTAATCAAACGTTCTTTAGAAAAGTTATCTTTAGAAAATATTCATTATAGAATATACATGTCGGGAAAATTGCCAAATGAGATGTGAGTTTTTTGGAAATTCCTAATTTTGGAAATTCCTAATATAATGTTGGCAAAAATGAAACAGATCATATGAGAAACATTATCAAATTTGGTTAAATCAATTAATCGGTTTATGTCTTGATGTTGAATTACAGTTTTTTTTATTTTTTTCTCAATTACGACTTTTCTGAGATTTTTAAAAAGAAATATTTCTTAAATATTTTGACTTTTTAATTTGAATCATGAATTATTCTAAGTTACGCGGAATGTTGTTTTGTTTACTGACTTGACTTTTAACATCTGTTTTACCAAAAAATTAATATCAGAATTGTACTACAATGACTATCTCAAATTTACCATAAATAAATGGTAGATAAAACGAATTTGTAAAAGTTGAATTTGCAACAAAAAGTTATATTTTTGTCACAAATACGTTTTAATCTAGACCTTAATCTAAAAAGCTAGTAAATCATCTTTATTTAAAATATTTGAAAGATAGTTTTTTCATATTTTGTAGATTTGCCAAATTGTTTATTGTTAAGGTTCACCAAAAACTGGTAAAGATGACTGTAAAAACACAGTTTGCTGGCAGAGAACCAAGGAAAACAGAGTTTTAATTCTCGAAATATTTAAAATATGCTAAAATATTCAACATTTTCAAAGTAAACAATGATTTACTTATTCGAAAGTTAGTTAGTCGAAGTCAGTGGGGTTGGTAATTGTCTAGTTGTCTACCTGCGGGTGGTTGGTAGTTGTTTACCTGTGGGTGGTTGGTAGTTGTCTACCTGCGGGAGGTTGGTAGTTGTCTACCTGCGGGTGGTTGGTAGTTGTCTACCTGCGGGTGGTTGGTAGTTGTCTACCTGGGGGTGGTTGGTAGTTGTTTACCTGTGGGTGGTTGGTAGTTGTCTACCTGCGGGTGGTTGGTTGTTGTCTTTATACTGCCAGCCTATAATAGCTATCCTGTACACTTGCACCTTGCAAAAAGTTATAAAACAACAAATATCTAGAAATTTTTCCTACGGGTTTTCTTCCAAGGACCTGGAACTCTATTCCATTGGAAATAAAATCATTAGGCACCCTAGCAAATTTTAAAACAAGTATTAAAAAAAGTTTTCTTGAAGAATATAATACTTTTCGTTGTATAAATCGAAATTGCTTTTCTTGCTAAATCTTGATTCTATCCCCTTTCCCCTGTTATTATAACAAAACAAAATAAAACATAAACATTATAAACTTTGTGTGCTGGGTTGTCCCCCTCCCCCTACGATCCATTCTTCTTATTTTCCTCTCTATTCTTAAATACCTTCCCATTATCTACTACTTTTCATTTTCCTCCTTTTCCTTTTGTTCTAGATTGTTTTTGTTTTATTTGGTTTTATTTAAATTGGACATGGATTAATCGCTGCAGAAGAGCCTCTCATTCAAAACAACCAACAATGGTTAGAGAGGCCCTGGCTAAATTAAGATGTAAAAATTGTGAAACTTAAATAGTTTTTAATTAATTATTTAGTCAAATATATATCTATCTATCTATCTATCACCTGTTTACAAATAAGCAGCAGAAGTAGATTTTGGCCTGAACCACAGTATAATAATCATATATGCAGTAAGCTCTCGATGAAGTTCCCAGCCTATGCATTGGTAAAGGATTAGCACTCTATACACTAGAACCCCGTTGGTCGAATTTAATAATATCCCCTAATGTTAAGCCATTGGGTGCATCAAGATTTATGGAAGAAATCGGGAAAATGAACAATTTGGTTTATTAAATGTGATTGGTGTATGAAACATCTTTCTAAAGAGGCAGTTGAACCAGCCGTAGCTATCAAAACCACTTATCATAAATTATCTAGACTGGGAGTGGGATTTTTAATTAAATATACCATTATACCCGATTTTTTAATTTTTAATAATTTTAGTAATCTTTAATGTACCTTTTTTAATGAGTTTCATCAACGGTTCACAACGGTGCACTATCAAACCGCAGTTTCAATGGAAAATTAAAGCTGTTTAAAATGATAGATAACTAGAAATTAAATAGTATCTTACAATTTTTGAATTTCCAGAATGTGTCTATAGTTTCCAAAATTTACTTTACGTAACTTCAATTATTTTTCGGCAAAAAAAATAAAACTTTCCTGGATAGAGATTTTATATTTTTCTTCTGTAAAAATGAAAATTGTCAAGTTGGTCTGGAAAGTTTAATTTGAATCGACTTCAGACAAATATCCTTCTCATCCTCCAATATGTATTCTTTAATTTTATTTAGTTAAGAAAAATTGTAGGTTTTAAATCTGTGTTTTTATCGTTTGAAATATACTAAAAAACAGCCATAAAATGTAAAGACTATTGCATAGCTGTTCCTAAAACAGTAAACTTTCTATTTTCTACAAATTAAAACTGTGCTCTGGTTCAGAGAGAAAATGAAGGATATGGTGCTTGAAGAGCATGTGGAATGCGGCTGCCAGGAAAACAAATATTGAAAAAAGTCCCCAGCTCGTAACCTTTGTATTGCTAGTCCCTTTAAAACGTGCAATCAATGATCTCTATCATTTGTTAATATACAGATTAATTTCACAGCCAATCAGAAGTCAGGGAACTTTGCGCTCCACCAATAAGAAAACAGAGAAAGAAGGTTTATCCAAAATCAAGGATTAAAGCAGATTCTCAGTAAAATTTAGAAGTCCCCAGTGTGGAAATCGAGATCAAACAATCGGGATTATGGGTATTCAGCATAAAAGTTCTCGGCTCTGACCTCGTGAGAATATGAGTCAGCTGTCTTTGATGATTTTAAACTTAATCGCATCAAATTAGAGTTGTCAATGTTAATTTCAAGAAAAGTGTTGTAAATAGCCAATTAGAATAACAAAACTAAATCAAATAATACCCAAATTACGTTTATACTTTATTAAATAGTGTAAAAAAAACATAATCTGTTTTATGGTTTTTTTACACTTCTGTTTTCCATATTTCCTTCCAATCCTAAAACCTATTTTCAAGGATTTATTGCTCTCATTTAACAAACACGAGAGATGACTCTCACAACACTCAACACAAGTTAAAAATCGGACACATCCATTTATATTACAAGAGTAGAAGATCGAGGATAAAGCTAGATAAAAGATGTACTTGAATCCAAGGTTCAGAAGATTTGATATACAGACACAAAGATTTATATTGTTCACTCATTTAGCAAGAAACTCCATTTCTTTGCTTCGTTTCCGACCTATCAAAAACTCAGATAGAACTATAGGATCTAAGCCAGGGGGCGGAAACGCTATGTGTGTGTGTCTGTACCAAAAGAGTGTGTGTAAAGTTTACCGTACCGAAAGTGTGTACTATAGGTATATACAGTACTTACGAATCTCCGTATTTCTACAGTCTAGGAGAGTACATTAATTATACATATTTGATTAAAGTTTACAATAAACTAGTCGTTATTCAAGCTTAATCATAATTGAAAACATTGTTCTGCAATTTCCTTGACTGTAGTCATGGTGTGTGTTTGTACAAAAAGAGTGTGAGTAAAGTTTACCGTACTTGTCTGCAAAGCAGTGCGACTGGCTTTCTCATGCCGCCAGACCAGCGCCATTTCCTTTCCCTTTATTCCTATTCCCTGATCTAAGTACAACCTGCTCTGAACTAGTCAGAAAAAGAGACCCGTGACAGTTCGCCTTGAACCTATTGCACGATTGGTTACAACTTACATTTCTCTCTATCGACAATTACATGCTGGAATCGTGTCGTTAGTGCCATTGCCGACATAGTATGTCGGAAACTGTCGATGAGGTTGAGTCGTGTATGCGACATCGGCCTAAATTTTTCTTTCTAAATTTTCTAAATTTTTCGACACTTCTATTTGTACGACTTTGTGACCTGGTCTGGCTGCTCTAGTTTTAATTTTATAAAAAGAACAAAAGGTTTAGAGGCCCAAAAGAGTGTTGAAAAGGAACTGAGTTTGTGGCAAGAACTCAGTTCTTTTCCCATCCATATTCTAACATATCTTTTCAGTTTTATATAGGTCATTGAATCTAGGCGGGGGGGGGGGGGGGGGGGGGGATTGCCCCAACATACGACAATATTTTGATAGAATTAAGTGCCTTTGTTTGAACACACAGATAAAAAAATATTAGATAAAAGAAGAAAAATGTTGGAGCCAAAAAATGAAATAACATTACATTGTTATCTAAAAATATGTAGGTAAATAGTGGATTGAGATGAAAGTAATATATCACGATTAATTAAAACATATCCAACGAAAATCCCGGTTTGTATATATATATATATTTCTCATTTAGGGTTAATTGTATTTTGGTTTAAAACAAATATCAACATATTATTCATAATCTTTCTTCTATTTACATATATAATATGTTTAGCTTGTCTGTTTGGGTGTTACTTTGCTTGTTTGTTTGTAAAACCGGTTAACCCGATCGTATTCAAAGAAACTAAGTCTTTGCCGCAAACTTACTTTTTTCCAATCCTTATAGCTTTGTAACCTGATGATGAAATCCTTTGATATTTCAAACTTAGATTATTTAATCTAACAGAATTCATAGTTTGAAATATGTAAGGTCCGCAACATTTGGTTCCAAAGATATAGTGATTAGAAAATCAGAGTTTGTGGCAAAGACTTAATTCCTTTATGGGGTATTTCACATGACCCAATAGAAGGTTTATGGACGATCAGAAAAAGGAAAAAATGCTCCAAAAATGTCACTTTTTATGTTGGAAACCCACTAACAAAAAGGAAAGGTTCGTTAAATATCTTGATTATCAACTTATTTAATAAAAATGTATGAAGAAAAGTAATTTTTAAAGTTAAGATTATTACAAGAAATATTGCACAAGTTCTAAAGAAAGCCTAACATTTAAAAAAAAATCAATTTTAATAAAAAGAAAAATTTATTTGACGCGGAAAATCTTTCATATAAAAAAGAGGTTGGGGTTGTATGCGAATTGGCAGCAGAATTCTTCGTTTAAGTCCCCATCCCCATAAACACGCGGATTTAATAACAGTTCGGTCATATTCCCAGCCAGCTGTGACCTTGGTTCTCAATCTTATTTTTTAAACATAAATTTTGTTTTATTCTTTTTTTTCGGCGAATGCAGAAAGTAAAAAAGACAACACCGTTTAGAAATGTATGAGTTAAAGACCAGAACGGGATTGAATTTAAATTTAAGAAACAGGGTGCACCCCCCCCCCCCCTGTCTATATCTCTACAATCTTCATATAACAACTTTTAATCAGATTATAATTTGAAGATAGAATCGGTTAGATAAGTATAGATTATAGATTATAAGTATAATGAACTAATATTAAGATTAATTTATATTAGGCGAAACTTTGAAAATGGCAATAAGATGAATTCCAAATTTAAGAAAGAAAAAGAAAAAATATTTAAGCTTTCTAACAGGGAAGCAAACAGGATGTAACAAACATAAAAGGGAATACTAATTTGCTAAAAATTTCCAAGACCTTGGGAACTGGGGAACATGTCGTAAAAGGCATTTTAAGACTTCAAAAAATGTCGTTTAAAATGGGTAAAAGAATGGCATTAAATATGCATCAAAAATTCACAAACTTTCTTAAAAGTTAAAATATTCCAGTCATCAATCAACATTTACCATGTTTCAAAAACTCCAAAAAATTGATCAAGAAATATTTGATTCAATTCTTTTAGAGGGGCTGAAATTCACTCTTAACTGTCATTGGGAAAATAAAGATGAAAATAAGGTCCAGCAAGGGACTACAGGCGTATTTTTAAGTGAACCAGATTTATAATTATAATTCATAAATAGCTTCATTAAGGTACCCTTTAAACCTTATTCTAATGATGGAGAAAGAAAAGAAAGAAAATTGTCAAAATTCAACACTTTTTCAGATTGATAAACGATATTTTGATAAAAACAGCTGCTATAAATGGTCGTTCTTCCAAGTTCCACAATTAAAATGTAAGGTCAGTCGGTTTAGAATTCCTGAGTTATGATCGGAAATCCAAGCAGACAACCAAAATTACTACTAAGATAGATATTTAGATAGATAGATAGATGGATAGAAGGATAGAAAGATAGATAGTTAGATTGATAGATAGATAGAACTAATCAAAATTACAACTACATTTTATTCTCATGAGTGACAAAAAAAAATAGGTTTTCAGCTGTAATATTCATGATTTTGGTATGGGGGGGGGGGGGCTTATGACTCAAGTTCTCCAAATAACAAGAAAATAACACAACTTTATTAGAAATAGAAAATATTTACAATTGTCTAATGTTTGTAACAGAAGAAAAAGAATACATTGACGAATTGAAGAATAGAATTACAGTTTGATAATATCATCCGGGGGCACTTATGAAATTTCCATGGGGGGGGGGATAAATAAATATCTTTAATTCTCCTCCCCTTGATCCCCCCCCGCCCCCTTTTACTACCTTATGTTTTCCAGCCTGTGAGGGGGCCGTCACCCGAGTTTAACAGAAAGTCTCCAATGATATCAGCATATCAACTGTTTCGGTGCAGAAGGTCGTTTTCTTTCGACTGTTAGACGATTTTTGATTTTCCACGGTAAACACCGGGCACTTAACCCAATGTACAGCAAAAATCAGCTTCCCCACATTTCGGAAAGTTTTCAATATTTGAATATTAGTGTAAACATATATCTTCACTATCCTGCCTGGGACAGTTCAACAACAGAACCTGCGAGTGCGAGTGCGATGATCGTCTTTACTCGAATGATCGGCTAAGGTGAGTGGAATGATCGTCTTTACTCGAATAATCGGCTAAGGGGGGTGTGATGATCGTCTTTAATCGAATGATCGGCTAAGGTGAGTGCGATGATCGTCTGTACTCGAATGATCAGCTAAGGTTAGTGCGATGATCGTCTCTACTCGAATGATCGACTAAGGTTAGAAAATCGTCTAAAAATGGAGTGTTCGCAAAAGATTTAAAATTTAATTGCATCACAATTAAATCGGTAACGCTTTGATTTCTCTTTTTATGTTTTGTAAAGAAAGTGTTAAAACATACCCAACATTTTGTAATCCCTATATCTTTGCAACTAGATACACTATTCAATCTATAAACAGCATTCATAATTTGAAAAATCGAATTTATCGCAAAAACTCTAATCTTTAAAAATTAAAATTACAAATGCACCATTATTTCTGAAATAATTGCAACTAATTGTAAAACTTTTTATTTCTTTAAACTTTAACAATACATCGCTTTTGATGAAAAAAGTTTGTTTCTCTTCAAAAAGAGTTTATTCTCCTAAAAAAATCTTAAATTTTATTTTTTTTAATTGTTAATTTATTCATTTAGATGTGAAATGAGGAAGAATACATACTGGGACACTACAGCATGCCAATGCAGGTTTAGTATTATATTATAGAACAAACAATTCAAACAACCGCGCGGTTCCCGACAGTATCCGTTATAAGACAAAAATGTGGAAGATACATGACCGGTTCCCGACAGTATCCGTTATAGGACCAAAATGTGGAAGATACAGGACCGGTTCCCGGCAGTATCCGTTATAGGACAAAAATGTGGAAGATACATGACCGGTTCCCGACAGTATCCGTTACAGGACAAAAATGTGGAAGACACATGACCGGTTCCCGACAGTATCTGTTATAGGACAAAACTGTGGAAGATACATGACCGGTTCCCGACAGTATCCGTTATAGGACAAAAATGGGGAAGACACATGACCGGTTCCCGACAGTATCTGTTATAGGACAAAACTGTGGAAGATACATGGTCGGTTCACGACAGTATCCGTTATAGGACAAAAATGTGGAGGCTACTTAGTCAATTCACGACAGTATCCGGTATATGGACAAACATGTGGAAGATAATGGTTACCCAAAAAAATGAGACTTCATAGTTTGATATTTCCTCCATTGTTTCTTCAGCACAAAACCTTTTTTTGAAGAACCATAAAAATAACAATCATTCTTGAACAAACTATAGTTTTTAAGAAATCTAAATGCCTCTCAAAAAATGTAAGATAACTTGAAATTACGTTTGCCCCCAGGCCATTTTATTAACATTTAATATCTACCAAAATAGTTTTAAAGTTTTTATAAACTTGTATTTTCTAATCTCTATATCTTTGCACTCCAATATCATAAACCTTTAATATTTCAAACTAAGATTTATGTTAGATCAAATAATCTAAGTTTGTAATATCAAAAGCTTGCCCTGTCTTTTATATTGATGAAAAGACTAAGGTTCTGCATGGGTTGGGACTAGATTCAAGAAGAATTTATAAAAAGGCCTGGAGACAGAAATCTATAATTAATCTTTATCCTATATCAAAATCCTATATGCTGGGTCCTGGACCGGGGCCAAGGGTTCTATATCAAACTTTAGAAAATATAAAAAGATTAAATTAAGTTTTTGTCGGATAACTTCCAGGAATATATTAATAAATTGATAACAGACAACTGCTTTCATTTCTACCCACAAACAGGGTGTTTAATGTCATATTTTCACAAACTGTAAAGCTAATCTATGTATAAATATAAATTTGCCTTGTGTGGGTCGGTGTTTGTCTGTTTGTTTGTATCCAATAAAAGTAAAAACGGCTGAACCGCGCGATAAGGCCCACATTTTGTGTGGGACCTCATGGGGCCCCAGGAAAGGTTTATGAATGATCAAAATTTCAAATATTTGTCTCCATCAAAATTCGATTTTCATTAAGTTTTTAAAATTTTTTAAAAAATCCACGAAATTTTTTGTTAAAATCTGCGATCTTTGTTTTGTTTTGTTTTACGATGTACACATAAGAGAACATGTTCACAATTGAAATAGAAGCTGGGCGCGAAGCACCCTAAAAGGCTACTAGTAATAATTAGATATTAATGATAATTAAACCAGAACCCTTATTTTTTTTGATAAAACATCGGAGATAATAAAGTAGAGTTATTAAAAAATGAACACAAAGGTTGTCAAAAATCAGTGTGCCTTCAAGAAGTAAATATTTGATTCACTCTTTTTAGAATTTGGAGAAAATATTCCTAACCAACCACAATAATATTTACTCCTTAAACACCATATTTGTATTTTTATTCAATACCTTTTAGCCAAATTGCTTACTTAAACTCACTTACCTTATTTATTTTTTTAAACGGTAAATTGCGTTTTATTATAACTATTTCAAGTTGCTAAATGAAGATATTTAGCTGAAGACTTGAGTTTAAAATTCTAGAAGTGAAGCCTGCACTTCAACTATTTATTAGAGCATTGCAAATTCTAACTAACTTCATTTAGTTAATGTTTCCAATAGATTAAAGGGATTATTTCCATAATTCAGATGTGGCCCCCTTAATTAAAGTACGTCATGAACCGTTACAGCAATTTTCTTTTAAATGGAATTGACTCTTTGCCACAAACTCTTATTTTCTAATCCCAATATCTTTGCAACCGGATGACGTAAACTTTTCAAACGTAGACTTCTTGATCTAGCAGAATTAACAGTTTGTAATAAAAGGTCTATTCAAGTAAAGGATCAAATAATAAAAAATATCTTCATTACAACTTTTTTCAATCCTGAAAAGAGTTTATCCGTAGACTAGTATCCTGGAATATAAAAGTATCTATTATCTAGGAGTAAGAGTGTATGGTATATAAAAGTATCTATATTCTATATCTAGGAGTAAGAGTGTATCTGTGTATCCTGGAATATAAAAGTATCTATATTCTATATCTAGGAGTAAGAGTGTATCTGTGTATCCTGGAATATAAAAGTATCTATTATCTAGGAGTAAGAGTGTATCTGTGTATCCTGGTGTATAAAAGTATCTATTATCTAGGAGTAAGAGTGTATTTGTGTATCCTGGTGTATAAAAGTATCTATATTCTATATCTAGGAGTAAGAGTGAATCTGTGTATCCTGGAATATAAAAGTATTTATTATCTAGGAGTAAGAGTGTATCTGTGTATCCTGGTGTATAAAAGTATCTATTATCTAGAAGTAAGAGTGTATTTGTGTATCCTGGTGTAAAAAAGTATCTATATTCTATATCTAGGAGTAAGAGTGTATCTGTGTATCTTGGTGTTTAAAAGTATATCTTTATCTAGGATAAGAGTGTATCTGTGTATCTTGGTGTATAAAAGTATCTATATCTAGGAGTAAGAGTGAGTCTGTGTATCTTGGTGTACAAAAGTATCTATATTCTATATCTAGGAGTAAGAGTGTATCGGTGTATCCTGGTGTATAAAAGTATCTATATCTAGGAGTAAGAGTTTATCTGTGTATCCTGGTGTATAAAAGTATCTATATCTAGGAGTAAGAGTATATCTGTGTATCCTGGTGTATAAAAGTATCTATATCTAGGAGTAAGAGTGTATTTGTGTATCCTGGAATATAAAAGTATCTATTATCTAGGAGTAAGAGTGTATCTGTGTATCCTGGTGTATAAAAGTATCTATTATCTAGGAGTAAGAGTGTATCCTGGTATATAAAAGTATCTATATTCTATATCTAGGGTGTATCTGTGTATCCTGGAATATAAAAGTATCTATATTCTATATCTAGGAGTAAGAGTGTATCTGTGTATCCTGGAATATAAAAGTATCTATATCTAGGAGTAAGAGTGTATCTGAGTATCCTGTTGTATAAAAGTATCTATATCTAGGAGTAAGAGTGTATCTGAGTATCCTGGTGTATAAAAGTATCTTTATTCTATATCTAGGAGTAAGAGTGTATCTATGTATCCTGGTGTATAAAAGTATCTATATTCTATATCTAGGAGTAAGAGTGTAGCTCCACGAGGTGTGGATCAGTATCCTGGAGTAGAGTGTAGGGACGGATATGTCGACCATCCTCTCATAAATTCAGATTTAGTAAACAGCTCTCCAACCAGAGTAGAGATTGTCAGGTTATATTCAAAATATTTCGGAATTCTGAATGAAAGCAGGGCTGTATATTTTTCTTATTTTTGATGATTTGGAAGAGCATGTTTTTCGTTCATTTTGATACATTTCCAAAAATTCATTTAATTCCCCCAAAATCATTTTATTTCCCCAATTCAGCAAAAAAAAGTAATCTTCTCTTAAAATTAGATCATTCGCACGATAACAATATTTTTTAATCTTCTTTGTTTTTGGTTCAAAAGTTTTTATTTTAGTTACAAAACAAAATACCGCAAAGGGGCATATAACAAATAGTTTCAAATACATTTTTATAAATAATCTATCGTTAAAACTTTTGCGCTTAATCCTTTTGGTTGCATTAGTTATCTTTGCTTGGTTCTAATAACGGGATATCCAAGAGGATTTGGTTCCGATAACGGGATATCCAAGAAGATTTGGATCCGATCATGGGATAACCAATAAGATTTGGTTCCGATCACGGGATATTCAAGAAGATTTGGTTCCGATAACGGGATATCCAAGAAGATTTGGTTCCGATCACTAGATATCCAAGAAGATTTGGTTCCGATCACGGGATATACAAGAAGATTTGGTTCCGATAACGGGATATCCAAGAAGATTTGGTTCCGATCTCGGGATATCCAAGAATATTTGGTTCCAATCACGGGATATCCAAGAAGATTTAGTTCCGATCACGGGATATCCAAGAAGATTTGGTTCCGATCACGGGATATCCAAGAAGATTTGGTTCCGATCACGGGATATACAAGAAGATTTGGTTCCGATCACGGGATAACCAAGAAGATTTGGTTCCGATCACGGGATATACAAGAAGATTTGGTTCCGATCACGGGGTATTCAAGACGATTTGGTTCCGATCAAGGGATATTCAAGAAGATTTGGTTCCGATCACAGGATATTAAAGAAGATTTGGTTCCGATCACAGGATATTCAAGAAGATTAATTTCATCCTTCGGACTAGAAGATATGAATAACTACTTAATCTAAGGATGAACAGCACAAAAGTTTTGTCCTCTGAATGATTTTTTTCTTATTTTTCTTCTTGGATCAAAACTTGACAAGGTTACATTTAATATTCACGTCATTTTGGACACACTGTATAACAAATTTTGAATTAGGGCTTCAAATTAGATTTAAAATCCAATCTCATGCTAGGCTAGCTATAGCAACAGAAAAATTTAAACTTTACACAATATTTTGAAAATACATATTTCAGAGTTTAGACTTTAAGTCAAGAAAAACTTCCTTCGTGTAAAATATATAAATAAATCTAGGAAAGGAATGATAAAACGATTTGAATTTTTGATTATTTGAATATTTGATTATTTGAATATTTGATTATTTGAATATTCAATATTTGAATATTCAAATATTTAAAAATTTGCATATATTTGAATATTTGAATATTTGAATATTTGAATATTTGAATATTTGAATTTTTGAATATTTGAGTATTTGAATATTTGAATATTTGAATATTTAAATATTTGAATATTTTAACATTTGAATATTTAAATATTTAAATATTTGAATATTTAAATATTTGAATATTTGAATATTTGAACATTTGAATGTTTAAATATTTGAATATTTAAATATTTGAATACTTGAATATCAAAAGATTTGAAAATCTAAATATTTGATTATTTGATTATTTGAATATTTGATTAGTTGATTGAATATTTGAATATTTAAACACTTGAATATTTAAATATTTGAATATTTGAATATTTGAATATTTGAATATTTGAATATTTGAATATTTGAATATTTGAATATTTGAATATTTGAATATTTGAATATTTGAATATTTAAATATTTGTATAAATTTGAATATTTGAATATTTGAATATATGAATATTTGTTCAGTTTAATTCTTCTTGGATGTTTCTTCACAGTTTCGTTATTCTTCGCCGCCTCTACCTTGTACTACAGGAAGAAGGTTAACAGGCTCGTCACTTCACACTCAAGGAAATTCCAATCTCAGTATTTACAAATTTATAAAAACTCATTTCTCGCCTCGAACTCGACTATTTTAATCCCTATTTCTTTAAAACCTTGCGGTGGAAACCGTTGAAATTTCAAACTATGAAATATATCTGTCACATCAAAAAGTCAAAGTTTGAAGTATTAAAGCTAGACCATCAGGTTTAATAATATAGGGATTTAACAATAAGAGTATAAGGATAGTAATTAGTTCTTGCACGATTGTTAAAGTGGTCAGCAATATAAAGGAAAATATGAAGACGACCTAAATTATTATTGTTTCAAAGTCGTAAAATCAACTATCTTTTAAATATTTCCTTCATTTTAGTTTTAGAGGTTTTAACCGAAATATGGGTTCTTAAAGGGGGTAAATAGAATCTTAGAAACGTAATGTGGTAATATGAAGGGTGGGGGGGGGAGGACCTTTCATCGACTAATTTAACTTTCTCTTATGATTTTATTTCACGTTGGGGACATCTTAAAATAACTTTTCAAAAATAAGTTTACTGTAAGCATTTTAAACTCATTTAAGTTTTGGTCTAAGTTTAAGCCTACTTAAAGGATATTCTTGCACCAAGTAGATATACCATTTTCTAACTTCTAAATATAGGGTACCTACAAAGAATGAGGCTTTAATGACGACCTTTGTCTCTTTTAAACTAACTGTCTAAAGATTGAATTAGGTTTCCTGACTTGCATATGCAGTATTTTGATGATACGTTAGATAATTTAACAAAAAAAATAAAACAAGATTAGTTGCAGGGAAGTATGAATGTTTAAAAGGAGGCCAAATAAATTCTGTTCAGTCGTCTCTGAATACTCGTCCTGTGTGGGTAAACCGGTATTTTCAGGATTGAACAAATTAAATGAACTTTAATTGTTTATTTTGCAGTAAATTGAAAATGAAACAAACAAACAGTATTTACCGAGTGGAATGAATTGATAGGAAAGAAAATGATTTTTCCAAATCAAAACCTAGAAAATCCACTTCCCAATCAAAACCTGCCAAGCCCTCAAAACCAGTTCTTATTCCGATCATGAGCCACGAGCCATTCCTCGAGGAGATGATTTCTCCTAATGACACCTTTGAGCGATACAATGAACATGGTGTTAGAATTGACAAAGATTATTTTGAAGAATAAAAATGTAGGCATACTTCGTAAGGATAAAAATGTCATGTGCTTTTGTAGAAAAGACGTTTGAGAGATATCTTTTTCCCCCTCCATTGCTATTTTTGAAACAAAAATTATGAAAATATTGTTTTTCCGAAGCTACAAGCATTTGGGACCATTACAATTAATTGCTACATAAATTTTGGACCGTTAACAAGTACATTAAATGATTTGGGACCGGTAACAAGTACATTAAATGATTTGGGACCGGTAACAAGTACATTAAATGATTTGGGACCTTTCGTGACAACATTGAATTAGAAAGTTGAATTGATTTGAGACCGTTTTGTGTTTGTTTTATTACATTATCAAAGCTGTTATTTTATGCATTTATTGATTTAATCGTTATTTATTAATTAAAACCTTTTTTGCAACTACCGATTATAGATAATTATGTAAATAGACCGCTCTAATGTATAAGTTGTAAAAATGTTCAACAATTTGAAACTAGGATATATATATAATGTACATAAAAATATTCTATTCTAAATAGATTTAAAGATTATTACAAATGATTTTTTGGCTGGGCTTAAACGTTTAAAAAACCCTTCGCTGATAGTTATATAAACATTTTTTACTAAACCATGCAAATTATATGTATATAAAAGATAGAATTTCATCAAATTTATTTAAAAGTTTTAAATTAAAACTGCTTTTTGATGTATATAAAACTTTCTTCTGTGAAATTGTTCACATTTAGCACAAAATAAATTATAATATCAAAGATGACTTTATTGTAACTTAATTCCCAGGTTTATTAGATTAGTCTTACAATATCATTGGAAGAGACTGCGTAATTCAAGGTTACCTCCCTCCCCCTCATCTATAGCATTCCTTGCCAGATTGACAATGCAAGATATCTTCGTTTTTTCTGAAAAAGAAACTACAATATTAAAATAAAAGAATAAATCATTCATTCTTTAAAAGACAGCTGTTTAATGGATACCATTTGAATCGGACATGTATCCCTTTAATGCATGTAAAAATTAACATTCCCCCGAGGGTATCTGTTGAATCATCTAAATTCAAGAATAAGCAAATAATGTTACTCATATAAAAAATGAAAAATTTTTATAAACTTAATTCTAACCCTGGGATGAAATTTTTTGTGGACACTCAGGGGTGGCGGGGGGTGGGTGTTACAGGCTAAAAAATCGACATTTATTTTAATATTTTTTTTCCAAAGGCAACGCCGGGCCCTTCAGCTAGTATATAATAAAAATGAGAAAATTTGAGTTTGTGGCAAAGTCTCAAATTTTCTAATCCTTAAATCTTTGCCAGCAGATGGTGTGAACCTTCGATACTCGAACCTTAGATTTTTACAGAATGTATTATTGGAAATATTAAAAGTATTCTTTATCGGGTTACATTACACAGATAAAGGATTAGAAAATAAGAGGTTGTGACAATAGCTCAGTTTCTTTTGAAAATTATTACAAATGGCGACTTTACGAAGAATAAGAATCGAAACTTGAAATAGGGAATGGGGCGCCAGGCTAAAGCACCCTTCGTTAAACTTTTTTTACTAGACCCGAGATCTGCTTTATATCCAGGTTGAATTTGCATGTTTAAAATTTTCCTTTTTCCTCTCAGATATCTGCTTCATAAATATTTACCATTTCGTGTTTGAGAAAGTTATGGCCAAGTCCTAATGTAAGCTCATCTAAAATTCTCGGCAAGAATGTTAAAGAAAAAATTTTCAGAGGCATATTTCCTTTTCCCGTCTATTTTCTGTTTTAAACAAAACTAGGGATGTGCAAATTCATTTAACGGACTTTAACCGTTAGCTAAAAATGACGAATATTTGATTTCGCTAATTTTATCCTTTACCTAACCTTAACTTTTATTCTTATTTTTGACAAGATTCGGGGTTATTTATTTAATTCTTGGCACATGGAAATAAATTTTAAATAAAAAACTAGTTATCATTATTGATCATCTGATCAACAAGAAGAAAGTTTATTGTAAATTCGATATTAGAAGAAATCCACGTGGATTTAACGGTTCTGTCAATATTCCAGAAAGCTGTGACTTTCGATCGCAATTTGACCCAATAGACATAATTTGCGAGCCTTTTCTATTAAATACTTTTTTGTTGGCATATGCATTTTGAATGAAAATGTATATATAACATAAACAAATCCGTAAAGTAAATGCTTATTGAGTTAAAGAACAAAACACGTTTGATTTCAAATAGAAGAAACCGAATGCTGCTCACTCTGGTTAGTCCGGTGTGTGTTTCACCTGAGACCGAACACAGTTTAACATATTGGTTGCCCGCCAAGTCCGTTTTCTTGCAAGTAGAGTTCCTTGTATTGAAGGCCAAAACTGGCTTATTTCTGTGCAATTAATCACTTTGTAAACCATCAAAAAATACTCAATTGAATGCAGGAGCCAAAACTCAAATAATCATATTTTAAGAGTTTTGGGTCGTTTTTGCAGGCTCATTCTTTGAATGTTACCCTACATAACATCAATACGTGATTTAACCTGATTCGCTGGATCTATTTTTGTTCTCTTTTATATTGGTTAAAGAAATAACTGATAATCAAGAAGAAATCAACACATTAATATTTTACAAAGACGAGTCAAAACACCTTTTTTACTTATTACATACAGTGGTAGGCGATTATATCAATACAATAAAAACGGCTTTCGATTTCAATTTTGATTTATATCAAGCTGTTTAACAGCATAAATATACAGAAGCATGGAAAAAAAAGAGAAGCCGTCGATTACAAAAGCTTCTCTTTGATTACTTGTAAACTTGCAATTCGAAAAAAGCTTTTGAATAATCATTACCTAGAGAAAAAGTCGTCTACCACTGTAGTAAACACAATTTATCATGAAATATAAAAAAAAAACATACTTTTAGCACATAGATCCAGACTGCTATGAAAAGATGCATCACATTTTTATACTGGGTTGACTTTTAAGTGTCACAACACCTTGACTTTTGATCGTAACCTTACGTTTACTTTTGTATAATTCATTTTAAAACACTTGTATTTAACACTTGTATTTAAAGCACTTGTATTTAGCTATAGTTGTTAAGAAGTAGTTAGCAAGCACTTGTATTAAGCTATAGTTGTTAAGAAGTAGTTAGCAAGCACTTGTATTTAGCTATAGTTGTTAAGAAGTAGTTAGCAAGCACTTGTATTTAGCTATAGTTGTTAAAAAGTAGTTAGCAAGCACTTGTATTTAGCCCTAGATAAATTTATCTAGGTATTTAGCTAACGTTGTTAAGAAGTAGTTAGCAAAATGCTCGTAAATTTTTTGCGAAGTACAATATCTTAAACATAATTCCACCTGTTAAAACTGGACTTTCTCATAGGTATCATTTATTTAATTAAAAAGGCAGTTTATTTCTCAATTTTTTATCTATAAGGAAATTCAGCGTATGTTTACATACAGTACACGAACATACTGACAAATGACTCTACTTACCTTAGAACAATACTAATTCTTTTTTAAGAATTCTGACCACCGTAATTCATGCAGTAATTCGTGTACCGTATGCAAACATTCGCATAACTTCCAATCAGAAATAAACTGCCTTTTGAAATCAGATATACTTTTGAGGAAGTCCGGTTTTGACTGGTGGAAAACAGCAAGATCGTGAGTTAAAGCATAGTCTCGAGTCTAAATCCCTAAGTTTCCACTTTTTTAGTTTTGTAAGAGTGGTTTACTGGTTTACAAATTAGACTCAAATCTATGAAAAAATGAGTTTCAAGGAAAAAGCCATATTTCGTCTCAATGGTAACTATTTTCCCAAACTACAGGGTGTCCCACGAAACATGACAGTATGCAGGACGACTTGAATGTCGTCTTGATTTTTGATATAATTTGCTGCGTTTATTTGACAACCTAATTTTAGAAGTAAATTTCTAGAGATAATATGTGTTAGGTCTATGAAGGGTGTCAACAGTCACTAACTTTGGATTCTTATACAATCCCTCCCCTTTTTTCGGTATTTTCCCTCTCCAAAAGGCACGAAATCTTTTGACTACTCTATTACTCGAAATTTACTTCTGTTTTTTGCATGCAGCCCTGAATTGGGATTTAAAAAAACGTTTCTCTATGTAGTATATACTAATTTAGGGTTTATTAGTTTCACAAAATATTCTGTTAAAAACTGAATTGTTTAAACTAAGAAGTCTTTGTCACAAACTCTGATTTTCTAATACCTTTATTTTTCAACCAACTGTTATATACAAATAAACACTAAATAAGCCATACATCGAAAGAATTTATCAAATGTCGTAATCTTCACTTTTTGATAATGGAATGTTGCAGATATTTAGTTTTTTTAATTAAATGATTAATTATATGGAACTCTTCAAAACTGTTCCCGCATATTCATGGCTATAATTATTTATTTTCGCATATACTGAGATTTACGTAAATAGTATAAAACCAAATGAAAAATTGTCAAGACGACATTTGATGAATTTCCAACAGTAACCTTTAAATCTAGCACTGATTAAGAATGGCGAACTAATCCTTTCACCTATTTACAGAATAGCTTGTAATTGTTTTATATTTAAAAAAATTTGTATTGTTACTTTCTAGAACTCGCAGATATGAATATTCCAATATATTTTATGTATATATGGTCACACACATAGATTAATAACAATATAGCTATAACACTAGATGTCGTCTTTTTAAGATTTAGGGGTTTTTCGTTCACAATAACCTTATGACATGCTTTCTGTCTGTCTTGCAATGAGGACTATGTATGTAGGAAATCCCCTTCTCCATAACAAATTTTCGAAACATCTATCCAGGTACATTTACAACCCGTCCCCTAACAAAGTCAACCAGTACACAATCCACACGGGTACGATCTCGCGATCTCGTAGCTATCAAACAAGCTATATATCGATTGCAAATCTGTCTCGAAGTTTTCATGAATAAATGTTTTTTACTTTCCTCTTTAGTGTTCCCGTTTTGTTTCTTTGGTTCCACGGGTTGTCTGATGCCTGATTATCAATTGAAACGCAGTTTCAATTAACATGTATAAGTCAACAGCGTACATTGTTAATTATGTATAACGTACTGCAGGTTTACAGAATATCATGTTTACACGATGTTTGCTACATGTCTACGCCACTTTGAACATCATTTTGAGCTTAACAGTCGGTGTAAAGATTACAGTTGAAAATCAGGCATTCCCATATAGAGTTGAGGGTCACTTCAAATAACGCTGACAGTCCCTTTAATAATAAGTTCGAAGGGTAACATACAGAGAATCGTTAATGTCCCTAAATTTACAGAATAACTTCACAAGGGAGGAATAATGTAGTTCATAGTTAATAATAGTCCTACGCGACGGTTGTATTGAAGAGTGTGTTTCTAAATGCCGCCTCTGGTTCCTCTGGTTTCTCTGGTTCCTCTGATTCCTCTGATTACTCCGGTGATCTTGAAAGTTCTCTATATAAAGTCGGATACAGAGTAAACCACGCATCTCCGATATGAAGTTCATACTCTTCACATTCCCTCTCCTGGCTGTAAGTAAACTTTTAGAAGAGCTAAAAACTTTTAAATCAACGTAAAGACCTAAACTTATTAACTTCTCATAAGATTTAATGACATATTGGATCTACAGGGTGTCCCACATCATTTCAGATCGTTTATGGCTCTTAATTGCGATTTTCGGAAATAATCAGTAACTTTAAAAAGAACAAAATCTTTTTTAAAAATTGTATAAGTCTAATTTAACCATTTGCATGCAGAAAACTTAAGGTTTTTCGAATATTAAGTGCGTATTTCGGCTTTAAATCTAGGAAATAATCTAATTTGATATGGGACGCTCTGTAGTTGTTGAATAAATTAAAAGGTACGGCTAGTAGAACTACAATTGGAAAGGTGTTTAAACTACAGGGTGTCCCACGAAACATGACAGTTGGTGAAGAGTTTTGAAATGTCTTCTTCCACATACTGTATTAGATATTAAAGACTTTTTGCAGTTTATTTCTTTTAAAAAAATGTTTAAATCATGTATATTTTACTGTGAAATCAATTTTACTAAAATATACTTATATAAAAATGTTATTAGTCTCTTTAGTATTAAACAACTTATCAAATTATGGAAAAAGACATTTTAAACTATTCACCAACTGTCATGTTTCGTGGGACACCCTGTAGCTGCACTAAGCTCAACTAAATTCAAGCTCTGTACACATGTTGTGTGTCAATTTCTCGAGACAGGGATATCAAGACCTAAAATTTTTAGGCTTTAGCCTATACTCACTTTCATTTTACCTCTGCAGATAAAACACCGATTTTGGTGTCACATTTTGGAAAATATTTCATGAGGATTATTCCAATGTAGTTAATCCGGAATATTTGGCTCGTAATGTTTGTTTAAATGGTCATATGCACACATAGATTAATAACAATACAGATAGAACACTAGATGTCGTATTTTCAAGATTTTTCGTTCTCAATAACCCTAAGCCATGCTCTCTCTCTGTCTATTCAACGCGGCATGTGTGTAACTCCTTTTGGGCTTCTGCGTCAGGATTATTGTAAACGAAAAACCTCTAAATCTTGAAAAGACATCTATAGTGTTCTATCTGTATTGCTGTTAATCTATGGTCACACAAAGCTCAATGAAGCAGCTAGTAGACGATAGATTAATTCTTAATTTGGTAAAGAAAGGTTCCGTCGATGATTACCAAAAGTTTTTAATCATGGTTTATAACTTTTATCAGTTTTAGGAAAGGTTCATTCATCCTTTTCGTGTACAAAAGTTGATCCAGAAAAAATAGATCCCAATCAAAGATTATTCCGATCAATCGTTTTTAAATTTAAGGGTTTTACAATTATGAGATTGCAGCTTTCCCATTTACAAGTAGGGTTGGTAACGTTTTGATTTTTGAAAAAAACGATCGTTTCGTTAAGAAAACGTCGAGGAAAATCGAAAAACGAAACGATCGTTTTTAAAAACGATCGTTTTTTTAAAAAGTTCGTTTTTTAAAAACTGTCGTTTTTTAAACGATCGTTATAAAAAACGGTCGTTTAAAAAAACGATCGTTTTTCATAACGATCGTTTTTATAAAGTTCGTCGTTTTGTTAACGATCGTTAACGACTACCCTTCGTTAACGATCGTTAACGACTACCCTTCGTTAACGACTACCCTTTGTTAACGATCGTTAACGACTACCCTTCGTTAACGATCGTTAACGACTACCCTTCTTGATAATAACCGTAAATTTGGAGACTACAGTCCTTCTTTCAATCTGTAGAATTAATTATCTTTATGTGAAGTAATTATCAATCATTACCTTATCCAATCACTAATCAAATCAGTCTTCTAGGGATGACCTTTCATTAACTAAACAATTATGATCAAAACTTAATATTTTTAATATCTTGTACTTTAATTTCTTGTGTGCCAAATTTCAAGCATATATAAAACAAATAAAGAATTAGGTTTTAAAGTTCATATTGACCATTTTGCGGGGCTCATGGCGGCTCTGCACTCTCAAAAGTAGAACAAATTTCTTCAATTCAATTCAATTCCGCTGAACATTTTATAACTGCTACGGCATGTAAGACGACATTTGATAAATCTAATTAAAGACGACATTTATGACTATCTTCAGGACGTCGTAAAAATGATATTTTTTTTCAAAAACGATCGTTATTTTTTAACGATCGTTTATTTAAAAACAATCGTATAAAATACGGTCGCTTATCGTTTTTCTGAAAATGATCGTTTTCAAAAACGATTGTTCTTCGTTTTCTAACAGTTCAAAACGAGTGGGTTGTTTTAAAAACGATCGTTTTTTAAAACGAAACGATCGTTTTTAAAAATGATCGTTTAACGAAGCAAAAAACGATCGTTAAACGATCGTTTTCAAAAACGATTACCAACCCTATTTACAAGAAGCATATCCAATATCCAATATTCTATATCCATGTAAAAGAAATTTTTTTAATCATGCTGATAAAAAAATCGTGCTTATGACATAAATGTTTTGTAGTTTTGAAGAAATATTTCCTATAGCAAGAAGCAAGCGATCGACTTGTGTAAAGTTTATCTTAGGTTTTGGAGACAAAAATGAAACGAAACCGTCTCATGTTAAAGATTTCTACTCGCAGCTTTTAAAAGAATATGTGTAAAGCACTAAATCAAAAGCAAACGTCAAAAGTTAAAATGCTATTCGAAATGGGAGTGCGACTTGCGAAGTTGCGAGGCACGCGCCTGAAAAGGAGTTGTCAATGTTGGACTATTTGATTTACTTTAATTTGTTAAAGGTCTACGACATCAGTTTACGAAGATATAAAGCTTAAAGTTTGAGAAGAATTGCTGTGTAAAATGACAACACAAATTTGAATTCCTGAAAATAGAATTGATAAAAAAAACTATTATTTTTTCAGCTGAATAATCCGGTGTTTCACATTGACAAAAAACAGGATGGGACTCTAATCTTCACTACAGGTAGTCAAATATAAAATATGTCTAGAAGATTTTAAAATTGTCTTTACACCAACTTATTCAACCAAATGGTTTCATTCTAATTAAATAATTTATTTTTGTTTTCTTGGTTTTCTAATGGAAGCGAACCAATGGTGGGAGTATTCAGACAAAATAAGAACTTATTATTTTCCTTTTACTTCATTAATATTTTCCAGAAGAATAAATATTCAATGTCGTCCATTAAAGATGTTCACAACTTTTTGACGTAAAAAAACAAAAGTGCACTCCATTTTAGATATCTCATGTTTATTTTAATTTGTAGTCTGGAAAATTGTTTATTTTAATTTGTTGTGATTTTCTCGCTTTTTGAAACAATGAAGAAATTATCCAAATTTGATTCTCTTCAAGTTAGAAAAATGATATATTGATCAGATCAGGGGTTTAAGGGTACCGTTGTATAAATGGCATCGGATACATTTGATCACTAATCAGATAAAGGGTACTCTTGTGAATCGGGTATTATCATCTTTGCATGAGGTGTCACAAAATTAAGCTTACAGTCCCTTTAAAGGGAGTGTTCGCTAAAATTAAATGAGGTATATGCTTAACAGTCCCTTAAAGGAGGGCTTTAAGTCGTATTCGTTTTCCACCAAATTAAAAGTGTAAATATAGATGATCCGGCTCTGCTTGAGTTTGTCTGGTTTTCTGAAAGATCTGGACGTAATAGAAATCAACCATTTCTCTCATCACAACCCTGGAAGAGTAATAACAGGTCTAATAGGGGGGCTGATAGTTATCTACCTCTCACCCTAGAGAGCTGAACTGTACACTTACAATTGTAATTACTAAAAAATGACATAAGAAGATGATATGATATGACCCAACAGATAGATATAATAATCAATTATATAGTACTATCTCGGTATAGCTTTTGGCCTATACAGCAACTATACTGAGTGATCAAAGATTCATGCTACTTAACTTAAATATATCGTAACATTTTTTTTAAAAGACCGCAAAACTCGTCACAAACTCTAACTTTCCAACCTCAAACTTAGAATTGTACTCTTTGTTCTTAAAGAATTAATAATAGTTTGAAATATCAAAGGTCTATGAAACTTGGGGTTTTCTCGTAAATAGTGATTAGAAAATTAAAACAAGGTGTGAGTGTTAAGCTCTTTTGTTTATTATAAAGAGAAAATGAAAAAGTCCGATATTTAAAATTTGAATTATTTTACTCAAAATACCGGTTTTGTAATGAAAATATTTTTGACCAAAAAAGAATATTGCATAAAAATAAAATATTTATTAAGGTTTGAAACAGCTGAGAGAATTTTTGAAGGACGTCAGGACGAAAATCAGGTTTTTTAAAATTTTTTGTTAAAATTGTATAATGCTGATTACAGAGAGGTCAGAGTGTGGTGTCGTTTCAGAACCAAAAAAATAACAATGGTGGAAAATTTAAACATGCAAAGGAATTGAAGCTTTGCCACAAACTCAACTGTTCAAGTTCATATATCTCAACAATCTGATGATGTACACCTTTAATATTTCAAGCTTAGATTATTTGATCTATTATTTGGACTCGACAAAATCAGAGTTAGATAGAAATTTCTTCATAAAAATCATAAAATGATGTGTTTAAAAATGGGGAAATAGTTATTTTTGAAGCTGGAAAAATATATTTAAAAAATACTTTTAAAAAGGTTGGAGAAGCAGGAGAAAACTTCGTAAACATCCATCCTCTCCTTCTACCTAAAATCAGGTAGAAGACTATATATATATATTTACTTGCTTGTCTGTCTGTTTGTTTGGATGTATTCAATAAACGTCAAAACGGTTGAACCGATCGGGCCCTCTTATGAACCGAGTTAAGATTTATAGGTGATAAAAAAATTTTAAATTAGCCTTTAACAAAATTCGATTTTCATTCAATTTTGAAAATCCATGAATTTTTTTGAAAAAATCCGCGAACTTTTTTGGTTTTTGTTTTACAATGTATTAAAAGAAAAAATGAAATTAAAGATGAGCGGAAAGCGCCCTGAAAGCCTGGTTTAAAATATAAATATCCAAAATATTCTTTTCGCACAAAAACCAAAAAAAAATTTTTTTTTTAGTTTTACACCGTCTGTCCATAAAACTATTTTATTTTAATGAATTTGATAAATCTAAATTTAAAGTCTGCATCCATTTTTTATAGATGCGTTTCTCAGATTTGGAAAATTTGTTTAAATTTATTGCTCTTTAATTAATAGAAAGCTAAATGAAACATTCGTCGTATTTTTAAATAATCTTTGCATACATATTACATGATCACCAACGGTCGCATAATACATTTGCCTCAGCAGAAATAAAGTCATTTCTCTATTTGAAAATTCATATTATTGTGAACCTTCGTTGAAAGTTTCAATTAGAGAATTTTTTCGAACAGAAAAAAAAGAAAAGGGGCAGAATTTATTTATTTAACAGAAACCGACGATATCTTCGTTTTTATCACTCAAAAGTTAATGTTGTAATTCTTGAATGAAGGATCACTTAAATTTTGTTCATATCACTTCATGGGTTCGATCGTAAACGTAGTTTTAAGTAACACTTCATTTAAAGAACGTGGAATATATGATTCACAACGGTACTCTATATGAGTGACAATGTGTGATATATCGACGTTATTATTTTTTAAATAATCCCTTTCATTCTATCATGAATATAAACCTGTTAGTCACTTTTATAGAGCAATTACTATTAAAAATAAAAGTTTTCACTTTTGATCAATCAAGAGTTTAAAGGGTACCGTTGTGAATCGAACATTCAACATTTGTATAGAGAGGGTTGTAAATATGTCTCTAGTCCCTTTTACATTAAGTTGAATGCTGCTATGGTCTTATTTCTAAATATTTTCTGTTGCTTTAGCTCTGTTGGACTAACCCCGAGCCAGCGAGTTATTGACGTGGCAGCGAGCACCAGGAATACGTACACTCAACAGCTGATAGATCAGGTAGAACACTCAATAGCTGATAGATCAGGTAGAACACTCAACAGCTTATAGATCAGGGCTAACACTCAACAGCTGATAGATCAGGTAGAACAATCAACAGCTGATAGATCAGGTAGAACAATCAACAGCTGATAGATCAGTTAGAACAATCAACAGCTAATAGATCAGGTAGAACACTCAACAGCTGATAGATCAGGTAGAACAATCAACAGCTGATAGATCAGGTAAAACACTCAACAGCTGATAGATCAGGTAGAATACTCGACAGCTGATAGATCGGGTAGAATACTTATCAACTAATATTTCAAATAGAACCCTCAACAGCTGATAGATCAGATAGATCTCTTAACAGCTGATAGATCAGGTAGATCTCTTAACAGCTGATAGATCAGGTAGATATCTTAACAGCTGATAGATCAGGTAGATCTCTTAACAGCTGATAGATCAGGTAGATCTCTTAAAAGCTGATAGATATCAGGTAGATCTCTTAACAACTGATAGATCAGACAGAACATTGATTACTAGCTACAGAGTTTTATTTTCTAAACTTTATATCTTTGCAACCTTGGACCGAATTTAATCAATAAAGCTGAATTACCAACTGCCGGTTCAAATTTGAACCACCGATTTAAAGTTAAAGATTTAATTCGGTCCCAGGAAGGATGTGAATCGGTGTATCTAACTTGAACTGGTGATAGCCTGTTTAGCCACCTTGCAAATTCATTAAATTCGGTCTCTGATGTCCGAGTACTTTTGATATTTAGATGGTTAAAGTTTGAAATAGCAATGGTGTACACCTTTAATAAAGATATATACGGGTTAGAATTCGAATACATTTTAGATATTTCAGACTGAGGTTTCGAATATATTTTAGATATTTCAGACTGAGGTTTCGAATATATTTTAGATATTTCAGGCTGAGGTTTCGAATATATTTTAGATATTTCAGACTGAGGTTTAGAATATATTTTAGATATTTCAGACCGAGGTTTCGAATATATTTTAGATATTTCAGACTGAGGTTTCGAATATATTTTAGATATTTCAGACCGAGGTTTCGAATATATTTTAGATATTTCAGACTGAGGTTTCGAATATATTTAAGATATTTCAGACCGAGTTTTAGATATTTCAGACCGAGGTTTCGAATACATTTTAGATATTTCAGACCGAGGTTTCGAATATATTTTAGATATTTCAGACTGAGGTTTCGAAAAGCCGGCCAAAAGTGAGGGAAGGCACAGACAAGTTCATCATAAGAATTTTGTAAATTAGAGAAAAAACTTAAAATTTAAAATATTTTTCTAGAAAACTACTAATTGAACATATCGATCTATTTAACTACTATTTGAAATGTATCATATCTATATTTAATCACACACACAAAAATAAAGAATATATATTTTCTTTGCTTTATTCTGTAATTTTGTGATGGATATAAAAATGCAGTTTTATATAATTTGATGTAAAGAAATAAATTGGATAAATATAGCGAAATTTCTCTTTATTCGAGCAATGCGATATTTGCAAATATTTAGTTTTCCTCAAAAAAGAGGAGTGCACAATATTCCAGATCACAACTATATAATAAAGTAAAATTGGAATAAATATCTCTACTTTATTACCAAAAGACCTGTTTCTGAAAATAAGAATTTTGAATGCCTGCCAAGAGGTAGATTCAAGCCAAGTCAAGCTTAAATTCATTCTGAAATGAAACAATTGTGCCGAAGTTCATCCTAACCCCCCCCCCCCCTCAAAAGACAGTTACAAGTACCTTTATTAGGTTTAAGCAAAATTCCACATTGCTAACAGTTTGTAATAAAATTTGAGTTGAGTTGAGTCTCTATTTCTCTTTGAGAAACTTTTCATTCAATCTTAAATTTGAGAGTTTTAAAGTGACTGCAGACAAAATTTCAATTCCGATTCACAACAAACCCTTCAAAGCTTTGTCTGATCAAGTATTGTATTAAATATCCATGTTTCCCATTTTGAAAACTAATTATTTTCATTTGTGGTTTCTCTACAAAAGTGGCTCATGCATTTCTTGCTTCAGAAACGATGGAGAAATGAAGGTTTCAAAGGTACCTGCCACTCTATAGATGGAGGGTCACTTGAAATTACGCATGTGTTCCATTTAAGTATAATCACATCGTATAATAAAAAATACTTTAAAATCTCACTTTTGCCCGCAGCTAAAAACTTTTCATTAAAAAAGCTTTTATCAATATTGCCTCCAGTGTAAATATATATTTTATATCATTATTTATAATACAATATGTATCAATCCTATGAAAATATTGATATTTTTTAAGAAACGCTTCCATCAATACAATATGAATCGATCCTATAAAAATATTCATATTTTTTAAGAAACGTTTCCATCTTTTTTTCATCCCTTGAAGCTTACACCACAGTATTAAGAGGGAGTGTCTGATGAGTCCACTTAATAAAATGACATAAATAATTTATTAACGCTTGTAATATGGAAGTGTGTATATGATCGAATAGTTTACATAGTTAAAAAGTATCAGTATTTTTTTCAAAAAAGGTTTTTTTACAAATGCTCTCGTACGCCCCTGAATTAATTAATATGGATATAGAGCCAGGAAAAACCTCATTGTTTAATAGTTCTTAGCAGACACGACATATTTGTAACGGGTGAAAAGAGAGACATCTACAGCATATTGTGTACTTTCTATTTAAGCAAGAAATGCTCACGTCGCTTTTGCAGAGAAACTGCAATTAAAAATAAAAGTTGTAAGATACAAAAACATTTATATATAGTTTAGACTCGATCAGATCTATTTTTTAAGAATACCGTTTGTAATTGGGAATTGCACTCTTTGCATGGAGGTCACTTGAAATTTGACTTAAACTTACTCTTTTCTGTTTTACTCTTTAGTTTTAAGGAAGTAGTTGGAAACACAATTCTTTTCTATTTTTGCGTTAGAGCGTGCAACTTTTTAAGCTTCATTACTAAACTACGAAACAAATAATAATTGGGGTCTTCTAAAATATATTTAAACTATATGTATTTATAACATTTACAATATTCACAATTAATTTGATTAAAAATTCAGAAATTAATATAACAAGCTTTTTTAAAACATGATTTGGACCAGCAATACATTTTTACATTATAGGATTGATAGATTTTTCTTACATTATATGTACAATAAAGTCCGCGATCAAACATGTATAAAGGAGTTGAGTTTCTGTCACAAACTCCTATATCTTTGCAACCAAGAATCGTAGACCTTTGATATTTCAAATTATAAATTATGATGGATAAGATAGTCTAAATTTGAAATATCTAAGGTTTACACCAATAGGTTGCGAAAATATAAGGATTAGAAAATTTGAGTTCGTGACAAAAACTCACTTTCTTTAGCAGATTATAGAAATTGGAGAAAAAAAATTAAAATATCAAACAAACTTTCGTCAATAATACAGTATCGTTTACAGAACAGTTCTTTAATAATTGTTACGTTATTTAGTTTTATATTCGACAATGATTTTGGTTTTGTAAATCAAACAATTGTATTAGTCCTGGTGTCTACCCATGCTAGCCCATCATTATGAGGGAACGCAGCTAACCTTCCTGAACCGTACTGAGGCCACAGGAGGGAGGAGAGAGGAGGGATTCGAACCATCCCCCTCGCTGTCGAGGATGAGAGGGATGGGGAGGGAAGCTCGAATGATTCTCCAATATTGTCCTCAATACTGTTTATTTGTTTAACCTGAGTTTCTCCTTCCTCGTTATGAAGGAAGTTACAGCGTGGACCGTAGGCACAGTAGCCAGCTATCCAGTATTTTTGGCACAGTTTAGTTTTATATTTGTTCTGTTTACCAGCATCTCGCATCTCCTAAACATTTGAAATATATAAATTTTAAATTTTATTAACTTAAAGGGACTGTTGGCGTAGTTTAAAGGGATCCTCAAATCTCAATACCTAGTTCGCAACGATACTCTTTAAAATCTTATATCTTTCAACATCTTTAAATAACTTGTGTATATCGTAAACGACTCACATTCTTGTGAAGCATTATTAAGGTTAAAAACCTCAAAAACAGGCTTAAAAACCAATGCCCACCCCTACATACTATTGATACAATCCATTTTTAAAGTAAAGTTTGTTTAAGTAGCTGATAATTAGCCTCAAATTCAAGTACATCTTTTATATTTCAAATTTTAATTATCAAAATATTGTTTAAAATACCAGGAGTTTTCAATTGCAAATACAAGAATTGGAAAATTAGAAAATGTTAAAATAATCAGTTCCTTTGAGTATTCGTGGTAAAATAAATTCTAAGAAACAGGGAATTCCATTTAGGAAATGGTATCTAGTAAATAGGTAAGTGGTCAAAAATTGTTGGGACCCAAAATCCGAAATCAAATAGGGATGGGGAGGGGGCACGGTGAAGCAGAGGTCCTGGTTTAAAGTGTAGTGAGTCTTAATTTTAGAACCAGTTTTCACGCATTAAATGTAGATTTTTTGTATTTGCTATTTTATACTTTTTTGTTGGGCTTCGTATTTAAAATATTTGGGTACAAAAGGTTTTTATGCTATTTTTGACGTAATTTTAAAAAGAAATGAAAATGTTGATGAAAATATTCCTGTGCAGACAGGATGTAGGAAGAGGGTTGTACGGATATTTTTAGGGTTTCGTTGAACTGTACAGTACTGTACATGTACATTAAGAAATAATGTAGATATTTGGTTTATTTTCATGAAAACAGACAAAATGGGAGAGTGGTGGTGACTCCCCCCCCCATCTACGTAAATTGCGCCACCATCCCATAAAATCTAATTTCCTCCTGTAAAAATGTAAACACCAATCTAAAAAAATACTATATGGGATTCCTTTTCTTAAATGAAGCTTAGGAAGTTCTCCTTCGAACAAACCTGATGTTTGTATTTCGAAACAATTGAATTATCACATGAAAAATACAATGATAATTAATAGATTATTTGTAATGATTTGTAGAAAGAAATCTTTGCTAATTGGGTTGCAGTGACCCCCCCCCCCACATCTTAGAGATGAAAAAGAGAGCAACAATTTGCTATAAAGATTTTAACTTACATCGTATCCATGAGCAAACTGGCATTCATGTCCGTAGAGACAACTTCCCTTCTCCTTGAAGTTCCGACAAATCTCAGTTTTAAACCTTGGATTAGAATCCTTGGAATCCTCTGAACCCCGGAGCTCTAAACTACTCTCCGGACTACCTGTCCTGGTGCCATCCTCCCTACTCACCCCTTCATCTATCACAGGCGAGGTTGAGGGTGTCAGTGTGTTAAGAGGTGGGAGAACATCTGTGCATAGTCTCGGTGTAGAGGTTGCAACCTCCTCCGATATTGAGAGTAGACGACCTCGTCCTCCGGGTAGGTCTGGGAGTAGGAGAGAGGAATGATCAAAACTAAATCTTAAATCTGAATCCTCACCAGAACTAGGCGGAGACAAACTTGGCGGACGGATTTGTCTTGGTGGATGTATCATGGTGGTTCTGGTAATTGGTGAGGAAGGGTTTCTTCTTCTTTCTAGAACCTGAAATGATGGTTCTTCAATCGAGCTTTGGCTAATTCGTCTCCAATCTTGAGATGACGACCTACTGTTTACCAGTCGTCCTGGTGACGAATCTACTGGAACTCTATCAGTCCAATTTGAATGATTTTGATCCAGGTTCCTTGGTTCTTCAGGATTTCTCCAGTCTCCATCTTGCTGAGATGTTCTCTTCTCCATGATTAAAATGTATAACTATTGACGGAGCTAGAACCTGATATGTTTACCCTAAACCAACCAGAATATAACTGATGAAGAGAGGAATCTTGTCTCTAGTAGTTGACCGTAATTTCGTCGCTGTATAGAGGCACATGTATGAGACTTAGTTTACTCGGAACTGAAGGGATTGGGGGTACTAAATGAAAAATAAAGATTACATGATTGAAAAAGATTAAATATAAAAATTAACTTACGTCAATTGTGTGTAGCTATTTTAATTTAAAAAAAAAAAACATTTTTATAGTTGATAGTAATAAATCAATAAACTTACATCAAAGTTTAATTTTTCATTCTCAAAAACTTTGTATCCTGGATATCCTATCTTCTCAAAAACTTTGTATCCTGGATTGGAGTGATTGAAGGAAAAAAAAACATATGTTGTTTGGCGCCCCACCTAGAAAAAGGACGTAGAGAATAGGAATACGATTGAAATTCATGTTCATGGCCCAATTTTTCATGGCCAGCTAAAAGAAAAAAAATTAGACCGACAACTTTAATGGTTTGGGTGAAAGGGAGGGTGGAAAAAAATGTCTAAAAAAGGGTCAAAAATAAGAAAAAAAATTTAGTTTTAAACAAATATCTAAGTTTGACACATGACTTTTTTCCGCCCTGTACCCTATCCTATGAATTAAAAAAATTATTTTTTTTACAAAAAATCCTTTAAATTACTATTCATTAAAAGTCACAAAATTTCACGGTGATAGTGTTGAAAATAAGAGTGGTAGGACAAAAACAATATAGGAGGGGCGCCAAAGGTCCCCCCCCCAGCCTGTTTAGGGTTAAGATTAAAAATTCAAAAATTAAGTATTTATAATTTCTTGTTATACATTGGTTTCAGAAATATGATTTTTGTAACTTAAGAATCTTTGCCACAAAATCAAATGTTCTAATGTCTATATATATCTTTGCAACCTGGTGTTGTAAACCTTTGATTATTTGATCTAAAGAATTCATATTTTATATATAAGAATTTAGAATATTAAAATTTGTGGCAAAGACTCAATTCCTTTAGACGTAGAATGTCAAGTTTAACGCCTGGAGCTGATTATGTAATTACGCATCTTGACATGAAACCTGTACTTAATAAATCAATATATGCAAATAATTGCGCATTTCTATAATTTTACATCTACAAAAAAATAGTACGGGGAATATTTAGTGGATTTTATATTTGACAAAAATCAAACAATTCAATATTTAATATATCCCACGCAGTGTCATACTGTCGATCATAAACTTTTATTTTTAGATTTTAATTCCTCTGTAAACATATTTAAAGCCCTACAATAGACTCAAATCCCGGCGTTATAAAATCAATCCTACCAAATGGTAAACATCGCAATAATGAGAAAACTCAGGGATTCACAAAGAAAAATGATCAATTGTAGATATTGTCTGATGAACTAGGATTATTTTCTGGGATTATTTTTTCCTGGTCTGATTCTTGCTCTTCTGGTAGCATGGTTTCTTCGAAGTTCTCGTCTTCCGGTTTACTTTCTCTGACTTCCAGTATATATAGGACTCACTTCTTTTGTTATGCAAAACTCTGTCACTTCTTGTTGTATAACAATGTCCTTGCTGAGATTTACTGCATGATTTAACCTGATTTAGACGTACCGTGTTTAACTTCCATCAATGCTAAAAACTCCTCATCACTCATCAAGGCTTTAATCCTAGCTTTGTCTTCATTACTCACCAACCTATCTATAAAAACGATATCTTCTGTATTATACACCAGATCTTTCTATTCATCACTCATCAAGGTTTCCACTCTAACCAGCCAATCTAAATATGTTGTTACTCATTGTGTCTCGACTTCTTCTTCATCATCCCTTCAATTCTTATTTTTTAGACTCAAGATCTTTTCTCAACCCATCACTATTCCTTGTATTTTTTGAAGATAATTCTGGTTTCCAGGGAATTCAGGATTTAAAGTCTTGATTTTAAACTATTAGAAATATTTCTCAAATCATTTCCCGAACACGTATCTATCCAGGTACAACTCAGATTCTCTTGACTATCAATGTCAACACATGGCTACAATCCCATGAACTATCAATGCCACTACCACGGGCGTGATCTCGTTAGCTATCGATATATGTCAACACGGACACTAGCAAGCAATCGATCAATGTCTCAACCAGGACACAAACAGCTACACTACAATCCCGTGAACCATCAACGCCACTGCCACTGGGCGCGATCTCGTAAACTATCAGTGTCTCAACTAGGACACGATCCTCAACCTGTTTATCGAAACAAGAAATGATTACTTTCTCACAGTAAACAGTATGGAGTCTCTATATCAACTAGCTGAATTTCTTCAGTTTACAGTCGTCTCTGAAGTCTGAAGTCTTATCCTTTGTGAGTAATCCTGTAGTAGAATTCTGATATGTACTTTACATTTTAATACACAAATATACACAATACACCTGCAGAAGGATGTTTGTGCATCTTTCAATGCAAATATCCTAGATGAAAAATATTGAATATATGACAAACTTATGCATTCTTTAAAATGATAAAAATAGATTTCAAGTAAGTACAAACATGAAGTTGTCCAAAGAACACAATGATTGAACTTGGTTTGAGTCTTTGGCACACACTAAAATGTTTTAATTCCTATATCTTTTCAACCAGATGGTGGAAACCTTTAATATTTTAAACTTAGATTTTTGATCCATCAGAATTCATAGTTTGAAGGTTAAGATATATTGGGTTGAAATATATAGGGACTAACAAAATCAGAGTTTGTGACAAAGACTCAATTCTAGTTTGATTAGTTGGAGCAGGTTTTAACAGTTAAATTTTAAAAAAATCGTAGTCCCTCATTCCACAGCTGATTGTAGACCAAGGTATCGTTATATTTACTGGGACACACTGCAAAAATGCAACAAACAATATATGAAACAAACACAGAATATATTTCATACTCATTTTACAATTAACATGAACAAAGAATTGATGATCAGGGAAGTGATTCTATCAAATGTAACATTAGAAATGTTTAAAAACATAAAATAACTAAACTATAGAACAGTAGCGAATTCAGGGGGGCATGCAGTCCTCTAGCCCCCCCCCCCTCCCTCCCTTTGAGCATCCAGAGGACTGATCGAGAACAAATGATCGACTATTCAGATGTAATACAAACTATAACAGAGGGATACTGTAAAATCTATTTAAGGCGATTTACAGCCTATTTAAAGAGAATATAAGACAGCAAATTGTAAGCATGAAAGACAATATTAAATATGTATTTCAATGGTTTCAATCTAAAAATATCTAAAATTAGTTTATGTTACAGAGAATATAGTTACTAAGATTGAAAGATAAATGTATAAATAAGTTATTAAGAAACGTACTTTTACTGCACTATCTCTTGGTTTAATTGAGGATGGATACAAATCTCATCTCTGGATATCGGACTCTGGACTCTCGCCTCTAGACACTCGACACTGGACTCACGCCTCTGGACTCGGGACTTGATGTAGACTCTTTGTACTACTGTCATCTGGACTCTGGACACTGGACTCGGGACTCTGGACTTTGGACTCTCGACACGGGTCTCTCTAGGATATTTAACCGTTAGCTCCATACTGATCAAACTACTTGCGTACACTAAGATAGTAATGTACACAAGAGTACTGTACAGTTAATGTGTCACTACACATGTACCGGATACAGCTGGTAAGAAAGCTAAAGGGGGGGGGGCAATCTGTAGATTTAATATTTGTAGGATTAACAAGTTATCTTCAGATTACACCAACCAAAGGTTTTACAGATACATTTGCTGGCGTATACAGTCAGGCGCGCAACTAGACATTTTGTTAAAGGAGGGCAAGAGGGAAATATTTCGCGCGAAGTGCGAAAATTTTTTTGCTCCCCCTAAATATTTCTAGGGGAGGGGGCAAAAAAAATTTGTAACATACTCAAAAAATAAAAACACTGACAAGAAATGCCTTTCATTAAAAAATCATGATTTTACATAAAAATATTTTTTTTTTCACTTATTTTTTTTTCACATGACACATCACACAATAGGATTAATTTAATAGTTTACTACAGAATATCGATTGAATTAAAAGCTCAATAAACTAATTAAATCAATTATAATTTTTTTTACAATAAGAGCTGAAAACTTTAGAATGAGATATCCTTTATCCCAATTACTTAGTCTGAGTATCCTAATAGACACACTTTTGATTTTCTTCTTTAACCGTTCTTTCTTTGATATATTAAAGAAAAATCTAAAACTAGTTTTTTAATTTAGATTCCTTCCCGTTTCTGTATATAATCTTAATTGGTGCGCAAAATTTCAAATTAATCGGTTTCATATATGCGACTCTGATTGGTTGAATTTAATACACTTTTCAGTTAGTCTCGATATTAAAAAAAGAGAGGATCAAGCATTAATCTCAATATCCACCATTCTAAAGTTTTTAACTCACAGCTCTTAAAAGAATCGAAGAGGTTCCCCCAATCTATAAAAGACACATATCGGTCGATATAGGGTTAAGGAACCCTATATGAAAAGTATGCTGAGGAGCATAATATTTCCTTTTCAACAAATCCAGATCCATCCAAATCAAAATCCAAATGTATTTATTTTACTTGGGGACGTGACAGAAAACCGGTGGAGGTCGTCCTTAATCATCAGAAGCTGCCCTGGGTCAGTCAGGTTGACCATCTTGGTCATATCATTCATGAATCAGGTTCACAAGATATAGACTGCAAAAAGGCTAGAGGTGCCTACATTGGATCATCTACTGAATTATTGGGAATTTTTCATTTCTGCTCACAACTGCAAAAGTTATCTGCTGTGCAAACTTATTGTTGTTCCTTTTATGGAAGCAATATTTGGAACCTTTACAGTGAATATGCCTGTCAAACCTACCGATCTTGGAACACTACAGTTAAAGTTTGTTGGAACTTGCCACAGCCTATTTTGTGAAGAATTTTTCTAAAGAATTCAACTCTGTGAGAGTTCTTTTACTGAGACGATTTGCCAAGTTTGCACAGTCTATTTTGCCTAGTTGGAATCCATTGATTTGGCAAGTTGGATTGATATCTGCATATTCTCTACAGTACGACTTTGGAAGAAACATTTCAAATATCTCTGACGAATTCTCTCTAGATATATTAAACAGCCTACCAAGAGCAATCTTTGAAGAATGTGGGCCGCTCACCATTCAAGAAGAAGACAATATCGAATGTCTGCAGCATCACCTGTTACAGCTCCGGGACTGTGAAGAAGACGACATTAGAGAAGAATTAAAGTCGTTAGTTGAAAACCTATGTATAAATTGAATTATAGTTCTAATCTAATATCTGAAACAATTTTATGTGTTCGACAAATAAATCATAATAATAAATGGTATCTGTCAAGAAATAATGATTTGTAGATGTATTTTAGTATGTTAATTTGTTTCCTGTTTTAGGGTTTCTTTCAATTCTTGACATATCTTCAAAACATACTGGATGGCAAGACAGACATTTTTCAATTATGACAAAAATAAATTAGTTAATTTTTTTTCCTTAAGTTTAGATTAAATTGTTTCCTGTTTCTTTTCTCCAGATAAAAAATTGTTTAAAAACCTTAATCACAGATATTTATTTTTTATTCACCCATGTGTACATTTATATGAGTTGTTTTCAATCAACTTTCTGGTTAGTATTTAATCACATGTTAAGAGTGTTGGGGGAGTTGTAAGTTGAAAGTGAAAGCAAGTAAATAAAACTGTTTAGTTAAAACATGGCTTTCTCAGTGAAAGGAATTGAGTTTTTCCACTTGCTCAAATTTTCTAATTCCTATGTGTTCGCAACCTGATGTTTATAATTAATCTGGCAGAGTACATATAGTTTCACGCACCTCTGCCCCTTTAGTAAAAGTAAATTGAATTCCTATATGAAGCATGAAGTCTGACCGCGTCAACCTTGTTGTGCGGCTAGTCCTGTCCATAGAGATAGGTACAGTACAAACTGGCATCGGAAAGGTTGACCCGGCTCGGAAATTCAAATGTGCCCCGGCTGCCCGTGGTTTGAAGAATGTGAGGTCTACGACATTGGCTTGAAAAGATATATGGATTAGAAAACTCTAAGCAGGACATTGAAAATTAAATTTTAATATAGCGCACTTTTATTTAATAAAAGGTACTGTTTTTTACAAAAGAGAAACTTTTCTCCTCGATCATTTGTCATTCCAGTAAACAATCTTATGTGATTGATTTCTCTCATGCGTGTTATTTAGAATTGTCGTTTCAGATTTTAACATGTCTAAGGTAATTAAATTGAAGATTGTAAATAAAATTAAGGAAAAAATCAGTGTATAGGTGAATGATTAAGTAAGATACGTACATTCATATTTGTCTAGCGTACATTTTTTTCCGGCCACCTGTCTTGACAGGTATTTAAGTACCATTTATAATGGGACATGCACCCTGTACGTTATTTTAGGTTGATTTATCTGATATAAAGGCTGCCGCTACCAGAATACAAGGACATGTTCACAGGAATAACTTTTTGTTAAAAAATTCACATCATTGTTTATGTTTATGTTTATGTTTATGTTTATGTTTATGTTTATGTTTATGTTTATGTTTATGTTTATGTTTATGTTTATGTTTATGTTTATGTTAAAATTACTCAAATATGCTGAAATTGTGTGGTCCAGAATGAGTAAAAAGGAACTCTATTTTAAATGTGAAAATTTTCAAAAAACTGGCAGTTTCAAAGCTAGAGGAGCGCTGAATGCAATCAAAACTTCTCTAGAGAAAGGTATGACCATGACCTTACTTTATTATCAATATTAAAAAAAAAAAACCGGGAAAAATTTTATTCATTAACCTAATCCTGTAAACTGTCTAATGTTGTGAAGTGTAAGTGGAATTTAAATATCCGCCTTTCGAAGTGTTGGATAAAAATGACAGGATTCAATCATTCAACCCAAATAAAAAGAAATGAGGAAGGAGTGCATTTTATGCAGTATTACTAGTACATACTGGTACATACTGGTACATACTGCAACATACTTGTACATACTTGTACAACTTTTAACTTCTCCATTTTTATTTGACGCACAAGTAAAAGGATGCCAACACTTTTTGGTGGCATAAACGGATTTTAGAACTTTTTTAAAAAGAACTGTTCAGAAAAGTGGAAAGGGTGTTTTTAAACAAAATTTTAAATGGAAGAGCAATGAACTTTTGTGAAGTATTTTCAGGTGAAGTTCCTGCTAGAATAGTTACTCATAGTAGTGGAAATCATGGACAGGTAAAAGAACAGGGCTTTTTAAGATAAAAATTAAGATATTAAAATTAAAAAGTTTACGATTATTTTTTAATTATCCAGGCTTTATGCGCGCTTGGCGTTACCTTTCCCTTTAACAATTTTAGCTCTAGCTCTGAAATTCACGGTTCGTAATCACTCTCAAAATTTCTCGGAATTTTCTGCATAATTTGTCCAGGTTCAAAAATAATAAATGTTGAATTTTTTTTCTGGAGAAAAATTCTTTCTCTTTAACAGTCTATAAACCTTCTTTGGGGTCGTGTGAGTTGCCAAACAAATTTGGGCCTGATAGGTTCAGCCGTTTTCACGTTTATTATATACAGACAGAGAAACTAACAAACAGACAAGACAATATATTTTTAATTAATTAATTAAACTATGTTTTAAATTAATTAATTAAACTATATTTTTATTTAATTAATTAAACTATATTTTTAATTAATTAATTAAACTATATTTTTACTTTCAGGCTGTAGCATGGGCCTCTAGGCAGTTAGGTCTGCCCTGTACTGTAGTTGTACCTCAAGGAACACCTACAGTCAAGTGTGAAGCAATTAAGGTACAGTTCACTATACACGGGGACATTAAAGATACTGTTAACTTTACACGGGGACATTAAAGAGACTGTTCACTATACACGGGGACATTAAAGAGACTGTTCACTATACACGGGGACATTAAAGAGACTGTTCACTATACACGGGGACATTAAAGAGACTGTTCGCTATACACGGGGACATTAAAGAGACTGTTTACTATTCACGGGGACATTAAAGAGACTGTTCACCATACACGGGGACATTAAAGAGACTGTTCACTATACACAGGGATTTTAATGGGACTGTTTACTCTACATGAGGAAATAAAAGGGACTGTTTACTCTAAACGGAGGGTATGAAGAAAATTTATATTTAAAACAGGGAAAAGACCGATCACTATACTACTCGGGAAAATTTAAAGGGACTGTTTACTCTACATGGGAAAATAAATGGGACTGTTTACTATACATGGGATAATAAAAGTACTGTTCGCTCTACATGAAAATAAGGGACAATATACTCAAAACTAGAAAATTAAAGGGAGGGAGCGGAAGGTATAAAATGAATGTAAAAGTTCACACTATATAAATGGAGGAAACTAAAGGGACTAGTTACTCTACACGGGGAAAATAAAAAGACTGTTTACTCAACATGCGAAAATTTAAATGTACGTTATCTTTTCCAGGGGAAATTCAAGGGACCGCTTTCTCTATTACATTGGGGAATCAAAAATACAAAACAAAAGAGACTTACAGATTTTCTATAGTTTTATTTATAATTTAGTCCTGATTTTTACTCTCGCATATTCTGACTGTCGCAAACTTGCAGTAGAATAACGGGTTACGAAATTTCCCTAGACTGAATTCAATAACTTGGAGAGGTCGCTAAACTCTCACCGCAGGTTCAAATCTTGAATCACCGATTCAAATCTTCATTAATCTTTAATTTTCAATCGGTGATTCAGAATTTGAAGAGATGGTAGTAGGTTCAGCGACCTGTCCAATTAATTCAATTCAGTCCTTGAACATTTAAACCAAATTCAGGGTCGTCTTGGGGGGGGGGGGGGACATTTCCCTTGATATGCTTAGTTACCTGACTAAATTCTCAAAATACTTATCTTGAGGATAAAATTACAGAATATACGGCAACCGTGCGTCATGACGGAAACCAATTTTAACTTTGATAATTTGATACATTGTTCAGATTTGTTTTGAAAAGATATCTAAGATGTGAACCTGTTATTTGACGTCTATAATCCTCCTGAGTCTGAATATTGAATCACAATATTTTCCTCGTCCACGTACCCTGCAATCCAATTAACCGATGTAAATTAGATATTTGGTGTTATTACTCATCTGGACTAATGTTCAACGGATCTACTTTAATCAGTCTGTTTAGTAATCTATACATACCTATACTACATTAAACATAATATTTGAGAGTTCTCTACCACGCATATAAAGTAGTAATCTCCGTTTGTTTGGATTTCCGAGTTAGATTTGACTCAAATTTTGATTCGGGAACTCGGTAGAAGCACGGGAATGTTCTTAGTTTGGTTTAAAATATCTAATCTAAGCAAGTTGACTTGTTGAAATGTTAGTTTCCAGGAAAAGTTTAGTTCCAAAACTAAACCGATGGATTGTCGAAATATGAAAAGGAACTGATTTTTTGCCACAAACTCAAATTGTCTATTACCAATATCTCTCCAACGTGATGGTGTTAACCTTTGATATTTCAAACTTAGACTACTTGATCTAACAGAATTCATAGTTTGAAATATCTAAGGTCTACTGTAACCGGTTGGAGCTCAATAGCTCGGAATAGGTATTGGGTTACAAAGATGTAAGGATTATAAAATCAGAAATTTTGGCAAAGACTCAATTTATTTGTCTTAAAAATTTCGATTTATCTTCTTTTTTAAACAAAAGACAAGGTAAACATACAAATCTACATAATCTTAAATTGTTCAATGAAATGTTGTTTATCATAAATCATGGTATGTTGGTTAAGTTTAAAACTTTTTTGCAATCCTTAAGAAATGTCCATGAAATTTAGTGCAAAGATCAGAGATGAGATTTTAAAAGCTCAAACCCGAGTGAAACCCAAAGTTGGGCTTAGATAAACCCCAAGTCAGGATTGGTTCTGATTGGACCAATTAGAGACTGTTTAGAAAGCTTTCTCTCTGTAGCAGACAGATTGCTGGTAGATCAGCTGTGACAAGGTGATGTAAATTTCGAAAATTCGAACTTTACGTAGATACATTATTTGTAAATTTGTTTATTTCATACCTGTGATCAAATTGACACTACAAATAATTCCCGAGGTTTTAAATGTACAAATATAAAAGTTTTTCGAAATAATTACGGTCGTCAGCTGCTGAACACCCCAGTCTTGAAGACAGAAAAACCCAAGGTGGTTGGTTTTTACTAAACTCAAGGCCATCCAAGACCTGGGTCTTGACTTGGGTCTAAGCAGACACAAAGACCGGGTTTTAGTCGGGTTTAAGCCTTTAAAATCTTATCTCTGATAAAGCTTAGATCCGATAATAATGTTGGCTGTTGAGGAATGTGTATTGCTTATTTTTAGAAGATTGAATATTGATATTTGGCTATTTTAAATTCTTTTAATATTTATTTATAAATATCTGAAAATCCTATCTGATGCCAACATTTCTTGAATACAATTCCGTATACATATTTTTCAACTTAGTTATAATTCTTCATTGAACGGATGTAAAAAGGGGTTTCGTAAAAGTTTGATCAATTTAAGCGTACTCTAAAAGTTTGGAAACCTTAAATATAAAAAAGGCTAAGTTTGTTTTGTAAAAATGTCATGAAAGGGTTTTTAAACTGTTGTATAAACTTTAGCGAGCCATTTTCGGACTTTTGGAACAAAATTAGTATGCAGCGCCATTGCAGATGTCAAAGTTTCAACAATCATACACAAGCCTTGCAAATTTGGTTTGAGAATTTTTTTTATTTTGTCGATGCTAAAAAAATTGATTTTTAAACTCACGGTAAAATCATTTTCGCCTTAAAACATCAAATTAAAGATTATTTGAATGTCGTCTTTCTGCTTCACAGTTTTAAGGGTCTTACTGTAAAACGTATTTATTATAATTCCCGTTCTAGGAATATGGCGCTGAACTTGTTTTCTGTACTCCTTCTCCGACAGGTTAGAAAATATCAGATTAAGTCTTAGATTTAAAAACTTATAATTGTGATTTAATATTCAATCTCTTTTGATCAACCTTGAGAAATGAGCATTTTATCATTTTTCTGGATAATTTGATAATTTAAGAAACAATTATATCATATATTATATTAACATTTGAGGATAAATGCTTTATCTCTCAACTAAATGTATCCCTGCAGGGTATGCGTACCACGAGATATCGAAAAGAAATTAATTAAATCTGTATGTTTGCGTAAGAATTGTGAATATCCAGATCAATTCTTAATCTGCAGATTAATTTAATCTTATAATGCAACTACTCAAAGTTTCGATTGCAGAAACCGATCAGCCAATCAGAAGCCGAGAAATTTTGTGCGCAACCAATGAGAGTGTTTGAAGCTCAGACCATTAAGTTAATTGTCCTCATAATACCGTACTTTTAGGAAGGAAGGAAGCAGCTGACAGAATTGCATCTGAGACTAACGGTGAGAAATTAAAAAATAAAGCATTATATTTTAAACTTAAAAATATTTGAATTCAAGACGCTTCCCTAATTCTAGGTCTAATAATTCATCCCTATGACGACTACAATGTAATAGCTGGACAAGGAACTATTGGTAAACTATTTCAATTTAAATTCATTTTCAAGAAACACTCTTTTTAAAAGTGGTTTTTCCGACACACTTTTAAACTTTGTCAAAGCAAAGATGATAAGAAATATTAATGTTTTACCTAAAAATTGAGCATTTTTAAAGGGACTGTAAAGGAAAAATGAAAGGGGGTATAGGATGAAACCATTTTTTATAGATATAATTGATTTTAAATTTAATCCGTGTAGTCTGTATTACGTCACCAGTACTTTAGCCAATGGAGTGCAGTATACTGGTCATGTTATTTCCGTCTGTACCACGTGACAACGATACTGCACTGTCTTTGGCTAAAGTTATTGTTTTATCCTATACCCCCTTTCATTTGTCCTTTACAGTCCCTTTAAAGGAATTTATGCATAAGAGATAATAAAGAAAATCGCTAAAATCAAAGATATCTTCCTGATTGTTACTCTGATAACGGCATACCGGGCTCTATATTTGATGATATTATTATTAGAATATATATTAGAATACGTGTACAGTCCCTTTACAGCCCCTTTACAGTCCCTTTACAGTCCCTTTGCAGTCCCTTTACAGTCCCTTTACAGTCCCTTTACAGTCCCTTTACAGTCCTTTTACAGTCCCTTTACAGTCCCTTTACTGTCCCTTTATAGTCCCTTTACAGTCCCTTTACAGTCTCTTTACAGTCCCTTTACAGTCCCGGATATTTTAAAATCTAAAGTCGTTTTTATTTTGTTTTTAACCAATTTAGAAGCGTTTTTATCAAAAATAAGCAAAAGGGTTAGTTATTTTTACCTAAGATCCTTAAAATTGGTTTTGAGTTTCGTTTAAGGGACATCCAAGAGGAATTAATTTAATCCTTCAGACAACAAAAAAATGATAAATGCTTGATCCAAGAATTAACGAACCAAAAGTTTTGACCTGAAAATATTTCTAGGATTAGAACTTCTGGACGAGGTTCCGGATCTTGATATTATTCTGGTACCAATCTCAGGTATTAATAAATAATAGATAAATGAACATTTTCAATTATATCCACAATACAAAATTTTTGCATAGTCTTGCAAAATATGCAGCGCAAAAAGAAGAACAAAATTTAAAATTCGCAATTTTCTTATTTCAACTATATTTTTTATGCCTGCGGAGAGTAGAGGATTAAATTTATAATTCCATACCACAAAGTAATCTCTGTCTTGGGGATAGGGCTCAATCCAAATAGTAAATTAACATATATTAAGTGAAATTTGACTGTTTTGTTCCTTGTACCATTAGAGCGTGATTGTGACAGGGATTATCTGTTATAACTTCTGATGAATTCTTATTAAATGTACTTTTTTAAAAGGATCAGCAAATACTGCATCCAGATTTTTATCAAGACGGTATTTATAAATATTGTCATTTTAGATGATTTAAAAAAAATACATTATTTGTCGCTTTTCATGAGAACATATATCAAATAATTTCTGTTATAAACTGTAACATTAAGTGGAAGGATAAAGTTGCATTTCTACAGAAAATTATGTTATTATTTGCTAAAGGAAAAATGTCAATATTTTGATAGGATTTTCCTACCTTGCATTAGATGCAGAAAATTTGAACACTCACGGCGGAGAAGATATATCTGATTCATACAGGGTTATCCCACAAAGCTTGAGACTCATATACCACGAAATGTAGGTTTTAGAAGTCTTATTTTAGACTTAGATACAGGGGAAAGGTCACAGGGTTATCCCACAAAGCATGAGACTCTTACACCACGAAATGTAGGTTTTAGAGGTCTTATTTTAGACTTAGATACAAGGGAAAGGTCACATACTTATCCCACAAAGCATGAGACTCATATACCACAAAATGTAGGTTTTAGAAGTCTCACTTTAGGCTTAGACATAAGGGAAAGGTCACAGGGTTATCCCACAAAGCTTGAGACTAAGATAAGAAAAGCAAATTTATTTTGTCTCATTCACATGTTCAATACTTTTGTGTTCTTCTCTAGAGCTCTTACAACAGGGGAACCTTAACTTCATAATTTTCACATTTTAACCAAGAACGTGAAATTTATTTTAGTTTGAAATGCTATGCTATAAATACATTCTTGTTAAAGCTATTCAAAGAAAAATAAAGCAAGTTTAAAGGCAATGAGCGGCTAGACATGGCAGTTGAGCTGAGAGTGTAATATTGAAGAGAAATTTTTCAGAATTCTTTTGAGACTTATTTATTATTCACCTTCTATAATTTCAGGGTAAGAACGTCTTAAATTAGGTTTCAAATGAAATTTAAAAAATTTCTCTAGATAACTGCACTCTTAGATCATCTACCATGTCCAGCCGCTCACTCCCTTTAAGAATACCACAAATATAAAAGAAGAAAAAGACTAAAAAGATATGTTTAGTCGTCTTTGAAGTTTTCTTTTCTATGGTTAGCCCTGAACAGAGTCGGATGCATGAATATCTTAAATATAATATTATTTTACGGTTTTGAAGTCAGTTTCTCACTCGACTTCACTCCTCAAATCTTGTGTTATTCAATTATTACTTTATCAAAATTACATCCCAAGTAAAACAAAAACAAGAAAAGTAAAAGGAATTGTGTCGTTGCCACAAACTCAGATTCTCTATTCGCTATAACTTTGCAACCCAATGTTGTACACACTTCCTTAGTCGTATTTTTCAAAATTATTTTCAAAAATGACTTTTATTTCTTCTTTGTTAGAAAACTTATTATATCTAGATTCTAGAAGGATATACACAAACATTTCTTAAAATTACTGATAACACTATTATTTTGGTACGGGACAAAATATAATCTAAAATTAAAGACTTAAACCTTCTCGATAAAGAGTAAATTCTATTCAAAAACTTTAAAGCAGTGCGAACCAAAATAATACTCTTAAAAATAGTTAATGACCAATATATTTTAGGTGGTGGCATGACCTCAGGAATAGCAATTGCAGCGCATCATATTAATCCTAAATGCCAATTTTATATTAATCATAATTATCTTTATTTTTCTTTTAATAAAATATTGACGTTTCAGTGATTCATTTGAATAATATATTTTGTGTTTAAAATAGAAGATAGAAATGGTCTTCCCTTAAACATTTCAGCTTAGTAATGTAAACTCTCCCCTTGAAACAATTTACATCTATTAAAAGTGTAATTCCGACTTTAAGAAGATATATTACCTGTCTGAGCCTAAATTGTACATACCGAAGGCCGAATTTAAAGAATTTTAGCCGGTCTCAAATTGAAGACGCGGCTCAAACACATGGTTGGTTTCACTTGAAATTGTACTTAGTGTTTCGAAATTTTAGCCGGGCTCAATTAGAACCGGTTTTGGGCGGTTTAGCAACGCAGTTTAAATTTTATAATTCTAATTCTAATTCATATAATTACTAAACTATTATCAAACCTTGTTGCCCCTATCCCGATCAGATGAGATAGTAAAAATAACGTGACTTTTTAAGACGAGCTCATTAGAAACTTTAATAGTTAGGGAGTCAGGGAGGTTAGAAAATTTCAAAAAGTACGTGTCAGAAAAATGTTAGAAAATGTCTAATTTTATTTTTCACACATGTTATTACATCCATTTTTACAGAGCTTTTAAAATAGGTAAACTTAGGATCTGCAGTTAAAAAAAATAAAAAAGTTTTGGACTCTTTTTGATGATTTTGGACTGATTAGTCGTCTGACTTTCCTCTACCCTATCCTACGCATAAAGCTTAGTTTGGCAAATTTCCTCAATTATAAAGTTTATAAAGTGAAGAAGTTTGAGCATTCTAGTGTAAATAGTTTTAAAATTATTGCGAGAAATATATTAATAATAATTTTGACATTAATAATAATAGTAATAATAATAATATTATATTATTAAAAATTTATGTTCGACTAAAATGAATATGAAGCACAGTATAATGCATTTAATCTAATAAATAAATTTTCAAACTACGTTCAGAATAATTTACTTCAAAATAAATAAATAACATAACTTTTTGAATGTCGTCTTCTTATTCCATAGTTTTACGGGTCCCACTGTATATTTTAGGTGATTGCAGTGGAACCTGTTGGAAAGAATCTCCAGGAGAGCCTTCAAGCTCAGGAATTCAACTGCGGATTTTTTTAAAAGCGCCAAAAGTTCTTATTTGAAAGTAAACACGAATCTTTCAACAATCCAAGATCGGAACCAATGTTAACCTTAGGTCGGAACCAATGTTAACCCGAGGTCGGAACCAATGTTAACCCGAAGTCGGAACCAATGTTAACCCGAGGTCGGAACCAATGTTAACCGGCGGCAAAAAAAAAACCTCAACTCAGTTTCACAAGTGGTATTACCGATTTTGTTAAAACCTTCAAGATATCACTGAAGGTTTAAGATTTTTTATAAGGTTTAAAAATTGAAAAAAATACAAGTCAGTTGTTTTCACAAATCACGCTTACTTTATACATCTCCTAGCTAGATGTCAAGGATTATATTATCTCCTAGCTATATGTCAAGGATTATATTATCTCCTATGCTATATGTCAAGGATTATATTGCTTCAAATTAAAAGTTTCCCTCGTGAATAAAGTTCTATCCTCTGCAGCTTGTTTTCCAAGGTATTCTATGAAGCTTGTTGAGATTAAGATTAGACTTATAATTTAGGATATTTTCAAACCTCTTACAGAACTCAAGACCCTTTAAACTGTTTTTAAACTCAACCTTTTTCCAAGAAATAAATATTTTGTACTAAAAATAATCGAGATTTTTGTTTTGAAGCGTCTTTAAAAGTTTGCACAAGTAATTGATGCATTTAATTTTGTCTGAGATTTAAAAAAGGCCCCCTGACTGTAAGAAAAACTAAAAACTAAATTTTGCAACAAAAATAATCGAGGAACGAGGCGTCATGAATTCCTACTTATATAAATTTCATGGTTTTACGTCACATAAATAGATATTTCTAGGTCTTAAATTTGTTGCAGTAACCTCATCAAAAAGAATTTAGTTGGAACTTTTTTTTTCAAATATTGTTTATATTTAAAGGCTAAACTTATTGCGCTGATTCAAAAAAAATATATAGTATAGCAAACACTATTTATTATTAATCTTTTACATATTGTTACCTATCATATCCAAATTTCATATTATTTTTTTCATAATTAACTTAAACAGAAAAAAAGTAAAAGCAAAGAAAATATAGACGCGCCAAACAAAAGCAAAGCTTACACCTCGATCAAGTTATACTTTAATTAAAAAAAATAAAGTCAAATAAAATTTTCCAGATTTCAAACAGCTTGGATTATTTATATATATAAACATGGAAACAAAGAGAAGTTGTAAATTTACAGATTCTCTTTGTCTGCTTGTAAACATGTCATTGGACAAAAGTTTGATGTCACAACTTAAATAGAAAAGTCGTCTTTATTGTATTGATATATATGCCAACCACTGTATTTAAGTTTTAATTTTTAAAATTGCTTTTTGAAAAAAGGAGAGAAAGTGGGAGAACCCTCCACAGTTTCTTAATACTATTGCTGAAGGGATTAAAACACAACAGGTCAATACAAACTATGGGACCATGAAGAATTGTGTTGGATCATGATGGACTATGATTAATATCAAAGGATCATTGGAAATCATAAAGAGGTTTGAATGAAGAATTATATGGGATCATGATGGATAATGATAAATATCAAAGGATCATTTGAAATCATGAAGAGATTTGAATGAAGAATTATGTGGGATCATGATGGATAATGATAAATATCAAAGGATCATTTAAAATCATAAAGAGGTTTGATTGACCGGGAAGGATAGTAAAGGACGTCGAATGATCATAAAGGAATTTAATAGATCATAGATTGTGAAGGCTTATTAAAGATTAGATTATGAAGAATTTTAAATAATCGTGAAGGATTTTAAAGGTATTTGAAAGATCATAAAGAATTATGAGGGTCTTTTAAAGATCATGAAAGACAATGAAGGACTTTGAATGTTTATGAAGGATTATAATTGACTCTGATAGATCATGAAAGATCATGAAGTGTGATCAAGCAAAGCATTTATCAGCAGATTGACCATTCGGGGTTTGTTATTTGAAAAAAGTATTCTTAAATATCATTAAATATTTTTAGATTTTCAAAATTTCAAATTTCTATTTACTTTTTGATTTAGGTTGGTCACCTTACTTTTCCAATTCTCTGCAATCTAGTAAAACAGGTTAATTCATTCTTAATCTCATTTTTAGTAATAACTGTACAAAAATAAAGGATCAATAACAATCTGGCCTGAAATATAAAATACTAGCTGAAGTTGCCCGTGGACAAAAAAATATTTTTGATTTTTTTAGCCTATAACACCCCCCGGCCACCCATGAGTGTCCACAAAAAAATTCAGCCCAATCAGTCCAGCCGTTTGGCCGGCTATAAGCAATATATACATATACGAATGTCTTGTTTTATTATATAGATGATGTGTGTTAATGCAAACTATTCTAAACAGTATCAGAATGCTGAAGAGTACAGATGTATATTTTACAGTGTACCTAGATAGACTCTACTGAACGAAATTTGTTAGGACTCTTTAACTTAATTTAATTTTCTATTAAATATTAATGCATTTCATTTGAATTTGTTAAGAAAAAAGCAAAATTTAAACAAAAATTGTTAATACTCAGGTTGTAACAGTAACAGATCAGGAAATGGCGGATGGTTGCAAAATTTTAGCAGAACGAATGAAGGTTTGCAATTTAAATTTTTTTAACTTTTGATATTTATATAATTTTTCTCTTGCATATAATTTACTGCAAACAGTCTGTAGCAGGGATTGATGATACAAAAACTTACTAAGGGTGAGCAAATTGTCTCTCAATTTTCAGTATCCGCCCCTGGCTTAACCAACATGCATCAAAAATATACCATTTAGCAAAATTTGTCAAAAGAAAAAAGTTTTATTTGAGTTTTTCGCCAGTTTCAAATGTATTTTTTTTTTATATTTTAGCTGGTTGTTGAAGCAGCCAGCGGAGCTGCCGTAGCAGCAGCTTTATCGAAGCAGGTACAACAATCTTATACACAAGGTTAATCGCATAGGATGAGACTTCAGAGACGACTGTACGGAATTTATTCAATCATTTTTATTTTATTTTGACGGTTTTCTGCTCTGCAATCTTTTTTTTACCTATTTTTAAATAATTTGATCTAAATAATTTTTTCACTAAGATTAATTTATAAGGTTCAACGCAAAATTCAACCATCGGATCGTCATATTTAAGAAGTTTTAGGTCGTCGTCTTCGTGGGTAATCCTGTTTATGTAGAACAAACAGGATATCAATAAATCTTGCAATTGACAGGAAAAAACTGTAAGGCCAGATTTCTTCTCCTATAAGATTTAAAAATAACTTTAAGATTTGTCTTAACTCTCCTTTTCCTTCGAATAAGGAAACATGCTTTAACTTTACATTATTTAGGTTGAATATATGCCTGGTCTCAAGATTGGGGTTATTCTATGCGGAGGAAACCTGGATATGGATTCACTTCCTTGGCAGAATATCTAGAATATTCTTTAGCATGGATTCACTTCCTTGGCAGAATATCTAGAATATTATTTAGCATGGATTCACTTCCTTGGCAGAATATTTCACTTCCTTGGCAGAATATCTAGAATATTCTATAGCATGGACTCACTTCCTTGGCAGAATATCTAGAATATTCTTTAGTATGGACTCACTTCCTTATCAGAATATCTAGAAAATTCTTTAGCATGGACTCACTTCCTTGGCAGAATATCTAGAATATTCTTTAGTATGGACTCACTTCCTTGGCAGAATATCTAGAATATTCTTTAGTATGGACTCACTTCCTTGGCAGAATATCTAGAATATTCTTTACTATGGATTCACTTCCTTGGTAGAATATCTAGAATATTCTTTAGTATGGACTCACTTCCTTGGCAGAAAATGCAGAATATTTTTAAGTACAGTGAGAACTAGATAATTGTGGAATAGGAGGACGACATTAAGAACTCTTCTTTGTATTTGATATTGTTAATAAGCATACAATTTTGCTAGTAACTAATTAAATCACTTCACAGGAATCATTTAAAATTCAAACCGACTTATAGTTCCGATGGCGAAGATGTCAGGTAAAAAAATTTTGGACTTTTGATCCGACATCGGCATGTTGGAAATTAAATGTTAGCTGGGTTATTAAGTGATATGTGTCTGATGTTAATTGGACTAGTCATAGCGTAAGTCTAAAAGAAAAAGTTATTTTATTAGTCTTAGTTTTATATTTTCTCACTGTAGAAACGTACATTTTAAACCATCAGAAGTACAGGGTGTCCTAATAAACATGGGTATTCAGTGACGAATTCGATATAGTCTTTGACATGAATTAGCATTGTAATACCTAATTTTGAAAGCCATAATATTATCATGTCTGCTAGAGTTTATTCTATTGAAACGGTAAATGGTTGTATAGATATGTCTTTAATGTCTCCGCAAGATAAACAGTGAAGACTGACAAGTTTACTATGCTTGTAATCTGCAATTTTTTTTGTTTTACAATCGTATGCAGACAAAACATAAACAAACAAATTGTAAACATAGCAGACGAAAATCTTACGAATTACAGATTTCTCAGTAGGTATCACTTTACTAAATCAAAGAATTATTTAAAAAGACGATATCGAGTTCGTCACTGAATTCCCATGTTTATTGGGACACCCTGTAGGATTATGCAATTATAGTTGGATCATTATTTTCTTAAAATTTTTTATTTCTCTTCCTCTCCCCATCAGTCATCACCATGCCCCTCCCCGACCTTAGGAATTGTGATGTTTTTCAAAATACATTTCTCTTTACTGTAGGAATTGGTAATTCAAATAAATTCTATCGTTTTTCCTTATTAAAATCGTATTTTAAAACCTTCATCAATTTTTATGATATATGTTGCATTTATATTTTACAAAATATAATTGTTTTGAAAAATATATGTAGTTTAAATATTGTATATTTTAAATAAAGTTTTAAAATGGGATTTAAGTCTCTGGATGATATTATTTGCGGAGGATTTTAGCCTGATCATTGTTGCAATCTTTACGTTGTGTGTGTGCACTAGAGATGTCAACGATAGTGTAACGTAACGTAAAATGTACGTTTTTGTACGTTACGTTACAATAATGTGTAACGTTTGGATATATTCTATATAACATGAACGTTAAAAGTTCACGTTATAGGAGCTCCTACCTAACGTTAACGTTAGAGGAACATACCCCCAACATTAGCGTTTTGTGGAAAGGTAACGTTATTTTTCTAATATCTACAATTTTTTGACCATAACGTAAAGAAATGTTTTGTTTCCAAGGGGAGCTTGAAAGTCTAATGTTTGAAAAATTAATTGTGATTTGATTGAATATCGTAACGAAAGGATTTCTATTTCAAAGTTCAACTTATAAAAAGTGTAACGTTGTATAACTGAAAAATGCATTACTGTTTATGAAAACGTTTTGAAACGTTTTACTTATAGTTTAATGAAAAATTCAACGTTGCAGAAATGGGTTATTATTTTAATAATCAGGAAACGAAAGTTTTTTTACAGAGTAAAATTTCAATTATGTAACGTATAACATTTATAAAAATGTAATTTTGTAAACCAAAACGTTTCATAACTTTTCTCTGAATACTAAATTGATTAGTCTAACGTTAGATATATTTCGGATGAAAATGTTGTTCATAAAACGTTAGACTATGAGGGCTGAGTTTTGATTTCAAAAGTGTAACAAAGATTCTGTCAATCAAAACATTTCAAAACGTCTCTAATATATCAATGTAAGAGATTCGACTGATGATTATAAGAGCAAAGACTTATGGTTTTTCATTTCAAGTTTAAAGAAAATAAGTTTATGCCAAAAACTCTAATCTTCATTTAATATATCTTTGTCACCTGAAGTCGTAGACCATTAATATTGAAATATAAAAGGTTTAAACCATCAGGTTGGAAATATTTAGGGATTAGTAAATTTGAAAAAAAACTTAGTTCCTTTCTAAAGTGTAAACGAGTTTTTTTTGTAACATGCTGTTAGTGAAAATTCAAATCTTATAAATGTTTCTTGGACATTAAAGGTTTTTGATTTGCCAGTGTTTGATGAAACCCACTAAAACTCTGGAAAAGGAAGACGACATTATTAAATTTTAAATATGCATTTTCTGATATAAAGCAAATGATTTACTAATTGCAAGAAATCGACTTATTAAGTGGCAGGGGTCTGTGAACAAACAGAATTGCTCAGTTTCATGCATATTTGACTACTTGAAATCATAACTTCAGTTGGCATGGTTCATTTTTAGGTTGAAAAATTTAGAAATGTAGATACTTACTAAAATGCAACAATATTTTATCAAATGGAAAATGCGTGTTATGTTTTATTCGTCAATAGTTTTTTATGAAACTTTAGAAAAGAAAAAAACTGATTTTTTAATCGATTTTTTTTTTTAAAGAAAAAAATGTTGAATAATTTTATTTCGCGTTGTTTGTGATAAAAAATTTAGCACTTGTCTTACAACAGAGCGTCCCATATCATATTGGATTATCTTCAAGGTTTAATGCTGAAATACGCACCTAATACCCGAAAAACCTAGTGTTTACTGCATGCAAATTTGAATATTAGGCTTTTACAATTTTTAAAATTAATTTAATCTTTATAAAATTTCTGATTTGTCTCGAAAAACGCAATTTGGAGCCATAAACAATCCGAATTGATGTGGGACACCCTGTATATTTGATATTTTTAACCCCAAACATGAACTCTGAAAATATTTTCATTGTGGTTTGAAAACTAAAGCTAATGCCGCTTTTTTACTCACTTTGTAAGTAACATAAAAAAAAACACAAAAAGCACTAAAAATTCGCCACAAATTATAATCTTTGCAAGCTGGGGTTGTAGACTTTTGATATTTCAAGCTATGACTTCTGTTAGATAAGAATGTCTAAAGGAATTGCAAGTTGTTCACAAACTTATATTTCTAATCCCTATATATTTGCTACCCAATGTTGTAGACCTTAGATATTTTAAACTATGAATTCTGTTAGATAGAAGAAAAGGGTCAGTCTGCATTGCGTAAAAAAAAGAAAAAATTAACCCTAAACTAATCTAAATAATTTAGAACTACTGTTCCACATACAAAAGTGGTTTGCCTTGCCGAATTTTCACTCATTTTTATGAAGTGTCCCAAAACATGTCTATTTTTAAGCTTGTCAAATACACGATGATAATTTCAAGTGATCCTCCATTTGAAGAGGGCCATGCTCGATTCCTAATGATAACGTGTATACCTTTATCTCATTGATGATTTGAAAATTAGGAGTGTTTTCCTATCTTGTAAATGTATGCTGGACGTTAAGGGTAATTGATTTGTGACTTTTTTTAGAACTCAGCCAGCCGCCCACCTGAGGTCGCTGCGTTTTAAATTAATAAAAATATTGTAATCAAAAAAATTTCAAAATCGTCCATAGGGTTGCGAATTGACAATTTAATATTGGAAAAATTTCCGCAAGGCCTAAAAAAATATTTCAAAAAATAAGTATGATACATCATTTTCTTAGAAATTTCATGCTGAATTCAGATTCGAAAACCATTTTTAAATATATTAAAATATAAAGAAGTTATGGTCAAATAACGGTACTAAATTCCGGTTTTAAAACTTTTTGATGAGTTTTTTAGCTCTGACTCACTCAATTTTCAATTTTTTAAAACGCTTTTTAGATTTGAGTTTAGCATTGAATTTCAAGAAAATGATATATAACATGAAAATAAAAAATATAAGTTTTTTTGTGGCCTTACGGTGAAAACGCAGCGACTTCCGATGGGCGGTTGGCTCTATTCCAACATTGATCACCCCTACTGGACATGTCACTCCATAAATGGAAGGTCACTTGAAATTACGTCTCTAGTCCCTTAAAGACACACTTTGAGTTAAAAGTCTAATACTAAAAACTTTCATTTGCAAATTTTAAAAATCGTTAAAAATAATAATATTATAACATCTTTATTCTTTATATTGCATAATGCATTTTCTTCTACACATTCTCTAAAAAGGTTAACAATACAACATCAACATACAGGGTGAGTAAAAAGAATGTAATTATCACGGAAAAAATCTTGCAATGCTTTCATGTAGAAACAATATTATTTTAACAAAGTGTAACGTTAGAAACATTAAGGCTTGCACATTTTAATACAACGCAACGTATAGAACATTTTTTCAAATCTTTAAAAACGAAACGAATAAACAGTTTTGATGGTCAGTTGTAAAAAAGTGTAACAAAAAGTTTTCACAAAAACGTTTCGATAAATCGTAACGTAAGAAAAGGTGCATTTTAGTAAAATTTCTAAACGTAATTAAAAGAGTTTATATTGGAAAAGTTAAGATAAAACGTAACATTAACAAAAAATATTCTTTGCACTGAAATGCATTGTAACGTACAGAACTATGCCCCAATGACGTTTTATTAAAGCAAAACGTTTTTCATCTTTTAGATCTTAAACCAAGTGAAAGTGTAACGTAAGGTCTCTGAAAATATTTACCTTGCATGAAAGTGGAACGTTAAAAAATTGTGGTTATATTACATAAGCTTTAACGCAACGTTGGGAAAGTTTTTTAAAACGGGAAATGCAAAAGCGTAACGGAGCTTACTGTTTTTTTTTCTTTTCACTAACATTTACTAAAGCTTAACGTTGTATAAGATATTCAATTGCAGAAAATTCATTACGTAACGTTACTCTGTGCCATAAAATTTCATAATGTGCAACGTAACGTTTCAAACGTTAATACTTCTGATGAACACTATCGCAACGAAAGCTAAAATCTAGAAAAATCAAAACGTTGACATCTCTAGTGTGCACTGCATTGCATCTTAACTAGGTGCAGATCTGCATCTTAACAGAGTGTGCAGATCTGCATCTTAACAGTGTGCAGATCTGCATCTTAACAAAGTGTGCAGATAGATGCATCTTAACAGAGTGTGCAGATCTGAATCTTAACTGAGTGTGCAGATCTGAATCTTAACAGAGTGTGCAGATAGATGCATCTTAACAGTGTGCAGATCTGCATCTTAACACAGTGTGCAGATCTGCATCTTAACAGAGTGTGCAGATCTGCATCTTAACAGAGTGTGCAGATCTGCATCTTAACAAAGTGTGCAGATAGATGCATCTTAACAGAGTGTGCAGATCTGCATCTTAACACAGTGTGCAGATCTGCATCTTAACAGAGTGTGCAGATCTGCATCTTAACAAAGTGTGCGGATAGATGCATCTTAACAGTGTGCAGATCTGCATCTTAACAGAGTGTGCAGATCTGCATCTTAACAGAGTGGTGCATATCTGAATCTTAACTGAGTGTGCAGATCTGCATCTTAACAAAGTGTGCAGATAGATGCATCTTAACAGTGTGCAGATCTGCATCTTAACAGAGTGTGCAGATAGATGCATCTTAACAGAGTGTGCAGATCTGAATCTTAACTGAGTGTGCAGATCTGCATCTTAACAAAGTGTGCAGATAGATGCATCTTAACAGAGTGCAGATCTGCATCTTAACAGAGTGTTAATGGTAAAAACTATTTCTAAAATTTCGGTTGCAAGTACCCAACAGAAAGCCACCTTGGCTTGCCTACCCCCCCCCCTCACCCTGGACTTACAATTTGTATTTGATTTTCGTGAAGTTATCAAAAGAATATATGAAAACATTGTAAGCCTGTAAAACTTGGTAAAATTTAGCCTCCTTCTTTCTTTCATATAAATAGTCGGATTTACTACAGTTTTAACCAGCCTTTGTTATATTTAATACTTTTAATTTTGGACAAATTTCTCAATATCTTAGGGCACAAAAACTGCAGACCACATTTTGGAAATTTCAAAACAAGGCGCATCTGATGCTACTAAACTGTTGGAAGGCAATGTTGTGTTTACAAGATTTTAGCGACAGTATCTCATTTCTGTTTACACCAGGGCCCACGATCTACCAAAGGTCTTTATTGTTTTCTACCCTGAACTTCACTTAAAAGTTTTTTATAATCACAAATTATTTTTAAAGAACCAACGACAGCCAGAATGAAAAATTGTTAAGAGTGAAACTTTAATTACACCATGAAGAGATTTAAAATATAAGCGGGATGTGGTCGGACTTGTTTACTGTGGTTTATTTACCTAAAACCAGTTCCTGACCATTATTAACACGTCACAGTAATATGTACACAAACCCTATCTTCTTTACGTACTTTGCGTACATTGTAACTTCTATGTAATACATCAATGTTTTATTAAAAATAATAATAATGATAAAAGAAATAACAATTTTCAATATATTCATTTAAGGCCACATACATTATCACATGCTTGTTGAACTATTAAGTCTAACGTGAACTATACAAAAGGGCAATGGTTCTTAGGCAAAAAGTCAACAATATTAAAAAATATGATATGAATTTTTATGTGAAGTTAAATTACGCTTGAATTCAGAATTTTGATGCACGGTTCTGAAGATGCACATCTCAGCGTATTTTAAAGATTTGGACTTAAAAAAGTAAATCTTACTCTATCAGGATTACTTTTTTACTGGCCAGCCCTAGTGTACTCAGTGTACAGTGTACAATGTACATTATATTACAATTTCTAATAAAAATGAGAAAACTTTAAAGGAAATCGTCTAATTTAAAGTTTTATTTTGATTGCATTTAATATTAAGTCTCGAGTGTGTGCACTGGGTAGTGGGTATTCAACTTCCTTATACATTTTTACTTTTACTGGGATACTTTAAATCCACTTTCAAGGGGACTGTCAGCCTAATTTCAAGTTACCCTCCATTCAGAGATGAAAATGCCCGATTCACAGTGGTACCCTCAACAGCTTTGTCTGATCAAGTATGAATTAGATGAATTCTAAAAAACTAATTATGTTTAACTGTGGTTTCTCTACAAACGTGTATGGCACATTTCTCCTGCAGAAAAACATGTGGAAATTAAACACTACAAGTGTTCTAGAGAAACGACAGAATCTTTAAAATTATTGATCAGATAAAGGTTTCAAGGGTACCGTTGTGAATCGGGCATTTACATGTAGGTTCAATTAAAATTACGCTTACAGCTCCTTTCGGAGAAGATAATTGAATATGTTTATCCAAGAACAGGGAAATCTGAATCAAGATTATGACTCTGTGAATGATGAGAAAGATCTGAAGGTAGAACAACCTGCCGACAGGTCAAGCACTGTGTGAGCCGGTCAGCTTCATTATACTTCTTCTCATACAAGGCCAGTAGTTCCTAGAGAATACAGGTTTGGGTTAAATGATGTTCCGAAAACTCCATATATTTACCGTTCTAATAATTCCCGAGTCTTGAAAATTGAAGGTAGAAAAATAGTAGATCAAAAGTAGCTTAAAACTCAAATAAATAAATGCAAGTTAAGATCGTCCCAAAAATCATCCAAACAGATGAATTAAAGGGACTGTAAGCGTTATTTCAATAAACCCTTCATGCACGGTTATACAACGATTTAAATTGTTTATTTTTATTTCTTGTTTAGAAAAATTCACAGAAATTACCTTTTTCAAGTAAAAAAAATCATGCTATCTTACACATTTTAGATATGATTAAGGTTTCAAAAGTACCGCTGAATACGGGCATTGACATCTTTGCATGGAGGGTCACTTCAAATTACACTATCGGACCCTTTAAAGGAGGTGTTAAATGGTAGCTAGATATACCTGTTGTTTATCTATGTCTGGTAGTAAGACCAATAGTTCAGGGAAAAATGCAGTAAAAACATCCTAGAAACAAACACAAACTATATCAAAACACGGCACAAACAACAAATTGCAAAAATCAAACTTAAAGAGCTTGTTTATATATTTGGGATCAAAGATATTTAATATATTTTTAATTTTCATTGTCCGAATGCAACTGAATCAGATCCCACCACTGAATTTAAGATTGTTACCTCAGATATGAGTTTTGAGCATTCCGTGAAATAATGTGAGGAACTTACACCACCTGAGTAATTTAAAGCGTTAAACTCACTTAAAGTGACTGTTCGAAAAGTCAAGACGTTTTTAAGTACATAATATGAGCGACAGCTTTTTTCCATGTATTCCTCATATTCTAATAATACATGCTCGAGTTTATTTAGGAACATTTGGAGTTCTCTGTAGATTATGATTATAAATGCCATGGTTAAAATACATTTTTTTTGTCAAAGCTTGAGCCAAATATTAACTTGATTTTTATCAAGATTTAAGAAAAAGAAATTTTTTTTGAAAAAAAAAATATTAAATAACTTCTACATTTACAAGTTTACCTGTTCTGAAAATCCCGGACACATCTCGAAATTTTTTGAACTCTAGGGATTTTCCTCCAAGAAAATCGGACACAGTCGAGATCAGTTTTGCATTGCGGTCCTAAAAAAGAAAATAAACTTTGGTGGATAAATGAAATTTTAGACTCATGTTAGTTCATATCATTCATAAAATATCTACCAAAAAATCTCTGAAAAAATGTTAAGTGGTTAATAATGTTAATCCTATATTTTCTTCTCCAAACTATGATAATAAGACTTCAGTGTCGACTCCAAAGTTTAAAAATGAAGAACAAAGTAAATTCTTTATTAATTACACTTCCAAAACGAAAAAAAAACATTAGCCACTAATACTTTTTCCTCATGAAGAGAACATTTGAAATTCTTTTAAATGAAACACCTCATCATCCCCAAAACAAAATATCCCTCCGAAATGTCGTTGAACTACATATCGCCGTTTCAAATCCATATTCAGTCTCCAATAAATTAACTGAGGCCGAATTAAAAGAAATTGAGCCGCGGCTCAAATATGGTTGGTTCCACTTAAAATTGTATTCAATATTTCAAGTTTTAAGCGGGCGCCCAATTGAAACCAGTTTTTTAGCGGATTTGCGACGCGACTCAAATTCATTAAATTCGCACTATAAAAACTCACGAATCTTTAACTTTGAATCGGATTTGAACCGGCGGTAGGTAGTTTAACGACAACCTCCTCAATTCATTAAATTAGGTCTCTCATCTCATGAGCGTACCTGGAACCCCTGGGGCGGATAGAACTGGAATCTTTTCTTGAACCCTGGCGGCGGAGTTCCAGATTTCTTGCCGGTCAACTGAAACCCAGGCGGAGGTTTAGGAACCGGTTTTACAACAGCTGAACCAACATCATTACTCATGGAAAGTGCTTCCTAAACGAAAATAAGCCATTAACTTTGTTATTGCTGAGGGACCTGCTTAAATAATAATAAAAGTTTAGTGGGTCGTAAATAATTACAAAGAGATAATTTTTTCTTTTTAGGCTCCTTTTAGCGTTTTTGTTTCTAACTTAATACTTCATGGCAATTCTTTTTATCCGGATTAACACTAAATTATCACAAAAAATTACCATTTTAATCTTTAAGCAAACACAAAAATCACTGACAGTCTATTTGTTTACAGCAACATGGCGATTTTTGTCGTACTTTTTTTTTAGGATCGCCAAAGGTGGAACCTTTACCCATGAACTTTGGAGACATCGAAAGAAAAACTGTTCCCTCTATTTATTTATTTTTACAATTGAGATAGTGAGATTTAGGTCTAAAACCCATTAAAAAATTATCCAGACGACATTTTAAAAATTCTTTTCATTGCTCTGAAGTTCTCGGTTAAACTGTATGAAAACCATGTTAAATTATTTCTAAAGCTTACCCTAACAGATGTGTTCGTCCACTGTGACTGAACAGGAGCTGGTTTTATTAGTTTATCCTCAGCTTTTATAAAATTGGCGCTCATCTTTTTAGAGGCTGACTCGAGGCTGGGAAAATCCTCAGCAGGAGAATTTGACTTCGAAGGAAGGGACTGTAAAAAAATGACAAAATTATTAATTTATTAAAAAAACAAATTTATCAGTTTTTCTTAAAAAAATTTAAATCGTGCTTTAAAAATCATGTGTAGCAAAGAATGATTTCAGCCAAAAATGTGGGTTGTTATATGGGACCATATAGTTGTATTTTCAATTGTTTCTTTATTTAAACCCTTTATTTTATCAATACTGAGGAAATTATCTTAGTGTTTCTATTTAGAATTGTCTAATTCGGACAACTTCCCCCATAGCTTCTGTAGAAGAAATTCGCAAGTCCCTTTATAGAAAAACAAACAAATTTAAAATGGATCTATTTTCAGAGGAGAAAATGATGGATATCTGGAGCATGCTTGATCAAAAAAAGCTACAAAAGAAACTGTTACGCGAGCCATGCTGCGTAAGTAAAGTCTATGTTGCGCCCCTGTGGAGTTCTGAGTTCACCCTGAATATCTGTACAGAAAAGAGTTGAAAAAGCAGTGAACAGACTGTCTACGCATACGCGGAATTCTTGCGTGAGAGCGGACAGATTTCTTCATATTATATATAGTTCTAGTCCGTTTACTGTATCAATAATGTAAACTTTGCCAATAATTCTAGGATCACTGCAGTAAATATTCTTTTATATATAAATATCTTATATTTTGTGTTTTTTCATGGATTTAATGATTTATAATGTAGATTGTTGGTTCCGTTCCACAGTTTTTTAATGCATGAGTTGATTTATTTTGTATTTGTATGATTATTTAACTCAACGCTTTTTCTGTGGATTTATTAAATTATTTGCTAGATTGAAGTCTTGGTTGAATAAAAGATCGGAACCCGTACTACTTATCCTTTATTATGGAGAGCGATCGGAGGAGGAAGTCTTGCAATCCAATCCTGAGAAATACCGCACGGTACTTATATAGCTTTCATTAGGTCTTTAGGAAAATCGCATAGTAGCGAAACAGAAACTCTTGTGCATAGGAAATACAACTCTTTTAAATGGAATGGTCATTTAAAAAGAGTTTAGTCATTTTAAATAATGTTTTCAGTCCTAATTTATTAGACCTCAATAAAAATAATGAAACATCATATCTATATCCATCATGCTCTAAGACTAAATAACTCATTGACACCCCTTTAAAAACTTACTTGTCTAATGGGTTGCTCCACCTTTGCTTGTTGTTTAGAAGGTCGAACCAGAAAATCCACTGTTTCTAGTTTAGAAGGAATAGCTTTTATATCAGGTTTAGGTTCAGGAGGTTTCATTTTTTCAGAGTTATCTTTTTTATTCTTCTTTTTTCCAACTTCTGGTTCTAGAAGATCAGCAATGGAACTAAGTGTGCTCGGCTGGGCAGGTTTGGGTTGTGAAGAAGGGGTGTTGGGTTGGGGCTTCTTGCTTTTATTCTTCTTCCCTTTCTTAGGAATTACACTAAAAGGTGTCTCTGAAGGTTCTAATCCTGATAAAAGTAAAATATTGTATAAAAGTAATATTTTTAAATAACAAAAAGATTTATGACAATATTAAATTAACTTTATTACGTAGATGCATTACTGCACCTCTTCACACAAAAATGAATGCTAAAGTAAACATAAATTATTTAAAGCTTTTCACCAGATAGTAGATAGTGCAGCAACAATATTAATTCCCAACCACTTTATTCGCTGAACTAACTACCGCCGCGGCTGGTTCAAATCTGGAATCACCGAGGAATCTTTAAATTTGTATTAACGATTTAGATTTGAACCTGCAGTAGGTAGTTTAACGACCTAGCTCAAATTCATTAGAGTTTGTCACAAGTCTAATCATTGTTTCCTAATTTTATTGATTTCTAATTTGACAATCAATTGGTTATTAAAACTAATTTGATTTATATTTACCTGGAAAATCTTCTGAACTATTTAAATTCTGAGGTTTAAAGAATACTGGCTTCTCACTCACTTTTGCTCCTACAATATTGGTAAATAGTAAGAAAAATAACGATATTTTCTCTTTCACATTTTCTTTAATTACAACCCCTCCCCCTGTAAAATATCCAAATTAATACGAAACATTAATTGTATGTTATGCGTAGGAAGATAGTGTAATAATCAATATTATAACAACAATTTTGATTATTACACTTAATTCCTACGCATAATAATATTTTACCACATTCTTGGAGGATTTGAATACATTCCCAGAATTACATTTTTATCTTTTATTAAAACCTTAAAGGACCTCATCTCCAGTGATTTGTAATATAGTAAAAAGTAAACTCAAAAACTCAACAATCTTTTAGAAAGTGCATCCAAAATGTGCCATTCTTATCGAAAGGACCGCCTAGAAATTTAATGTCACTCAACACAACACATGGATTTTATTTGACAAAGAAAGAAAGAAAATATTGATTTTAATTTTTTTTTTCAACTATTCCATCTTTTAGGAAGTGTGTACTGTAAATTGTTGAGTCTTTTATAGCTTTAATATCCAAAATACACCAATTTCATCGAAAGGTGTGCCTAGAAATTCAGTGGAGTTAATTTGTCACATCAATGAATATAATAGTTTCAAATTATCAAATACCATATCATCCTTTAGTTAGTGTCTTTAAAGGTTGAAAGATCCAAAATATTTTTCTGAAAAAAATTTAATGTCACTAAACCATTATTTTATCCGACAAAAATAAAGAAAATATCCATTTAAATCTTTTTAACCCATACCATCCTTTAGCTTAAAGATCCATTTTTATTGAAAGGGTCGCCTAGAAATTCAATATCACTGAACAGTAAACACCACCACTTAGATTTCTTTTGTATCAAAGAAAATAGTAATTTTTTAATATGTTAGGGAGTGTTTTCAAAGCTTAAAATGCGCTATTTTTATCGAAAGGGGTGCCTAGAAATTCAATATCACTTAACATTCCCCTCTTGGTTTTCATTTGTCAAAATCAGAGAAAATGTTAATCTATAATTTTGTCAGACCATATATCTATCCTTCACATTATGGAGTGTCTTCAATAACTGAAATTTTTTATTTTCTTTGCGTTTGACAAATGAATTTCAAGAGGGGGGTGTAAAGTGATATTGAATTTCTAGGCACCCCTGTAAAAATGGTGCATTTTGAATCTTCAAGTCTTTGGAGATGATCCCTAAATAATGATATGGTTTAAAATAATCCGAATTTCTTACTTTTTATGTTTTAGCAGAATGATATCTGGGTGGGGGTAATAATTTATTTTGGAATTTTTGTGGAAAATGGAGCATTTTGGATTTTTAAGCTATCGAAGACAATTCTTACAATTAATTTAAAAATAAAAATTTATTTAAAAATTACCTTTTGTTAAAAAATAAAATCAAAGAGTGATTGTAGTATTCTCTTACTACTAAAAATGTGCAATAAATTGGCAAACTTAAATTGGCAAACTTTGATAAGATTACACTTCAAGTTATGTAACTTGTATAGGATCAATTATCTTTGCAGCCTGATAACATTGCACATCGGGTTATCTCCTTCACTCGGAGCTAACCCTTATACAATTACTATCTTTGCAACCTGACAACATTGCAGATCGGGTTATTTCCTTCACTCGGACCTAACCCTCATGCAATGTTGTTATCTTTGCAACCTGGCATTATTATACTTCGGTTATCTTTATCATACAAAGTAAACCTTATACAATTATCTGCTCGTGCTATTATTAACACCCAAAGTAATAAATATATTTCTCATAATGTTACTTCATTTATTAACATAATCATAAATGTTTACATAACATTACATAAAGATAAACTGTTGACATAATAGTTAGTCAGAATCCTTTTATCATTAAGGTTCCTTAACTTGACCTTCAATCGCCTTCTCAGTTAATCTACCAAGTCTGGCGTGCATGACTGATATAGCTTTCAGCCCGTCAATCAGCTTTATATCTTTATTATTACAGGTTCGCTGGTCAACCCGCTTCTGCAAGACCTGGAGCAGATCCCAAACCTGGTTAGTCAGCCTACTACTGATCTCATCTATACTCGGATCAGGGTGCAGTCTGTATTCTTGCTCCCAAGCCTTCCCTCTGTCCCAAACCTCAACTTGTGGGACAACAGCAGACTGGAGGGAGCTAAAGTCCTCCGGTATGGAGGACAGGAGATCCATAATCTCCTTCCGGAGTTCCTTGACTTCAGTATCAAGCTTCTCCATCTTCTCTAGGATATCCTGCATGTCATCATCCTCGTCACCATCCTCTCCTAGATCCTCAACTACGTTCTCGTCCTCCGAGGCTGGGACAGTGACAATGGGAGTGTCTCCACTGACAAGAGGAGTGGTATCAGCTGGATCAACTTCATCTTCATCCAGCTCTACTTCACCAATAACAGGAACTCGATTCATCTTCTCCTGCTGTAGCTCATCCAGAAAGATTCCCTCTGTATTCAATCTGTGCACTGTATGTAGCACAGGAACCGGAGCGGTAGAGTGCAGGCGACTTGTGTCTTCTGCTACGGCTCGGGTTGTACTAATCTCTGGCATCCAGTTATATTCAAGGGACTGTTCACTCTTATCAAGAACAATTTGAAATACAACATGAGGTGTTTGTTGATTTTAAAGTTCTAGGATCTCCTTTTGATGAAAATTGTGCATTTTGAATCTTTCAGCCTTAAAAGACTCTTCCTTCAAGATGGTTGGGGTTTGAATTGCCAAAATTTACCAATTTTGTTGATATTGTAAATTAAAATCTAAAATTGAGTTAATAATAGATATTTTCCCCTTGACGCCCCTACAAAGATGTTTTTGTAGATCCTGATCATTTAATAAAAATATTAGATATTTTTTTATTTCTACTTGCTTTTCCTTAGCTAAATTTGTGTTAAGGGGCTTATTCTTCTTCATTTTCAGGAGTCTGATGTAGATCAAATAGTTAACCTGACAGTTGGCTTTTAACTACCTAAACCATATCGGGCTAATCTTGCATGCTGAATCTATCTTTGTTAGGCATTTTTTTCATGGCCTTACATTCTGACAGACCCAAAATCTTAAAGTAAATATGATATATTGACATAAAAACAATATTTATATGAATATGTCCCCTTCCTACACTCCTGATGGAAGAACAGAAAAAGAGCATTTTTAAAGGGTTCAGGTTAAAAAATAAGCAATTTGTTATTGTCATGAGTGTGAGAATGAATTAAAAGTAGTTTTAGTTTCTAGAATTTAGCTGATTTATTTATCTATCAATTTCCCATGAATAATTCTTATTATACCACATTCTTATCGGATTTACTACGTAGCCAAATCCGGAATATTTCTTGTTAATTGAATAGAAATGAAATTTAGCTTTTAAGAGTTTTATTACGATATTTTATCCGTAACTTTCAGTTGTTCCAACTTAAATCTTGAAAAAATAATTCCCATAAAAAGTCAAGATAATGGGTTAAAAGCAGTACAGCAGGAATTAAAATATTGGTTGACCGTTTCTAACCTGTCCTGAGGCTCTAATCGTTTTCTCTGAGAACGAATTTAAAGGTCGTCCTCCGCCTCCCAGGGAGGGATAATCGTCTTCATCGCTCTCGAACGGATCAAAATGTTTAGCGGCAGGTTTTAACCGGGGTTGGGCGGATGGGCGCGCCACAGATCGGGGAGCAAGGCCAGATACAGGCCTGGACGCACCTGAGAGAAAAATTATACTATGAATATTGAATATTTTATTAAAACAGTGTTTAAGATCTTAATCCGAATAAGAAAAAATTGTGACAAATTGTTTAAGAGAAAATTTAGGTAAAAATATATATGCTTAATGCTTGTAATGATGATGATGAAAATAAAATTTTTATTTTCAAAAATTCTAAAATAACGTTGCCAATTTCAGTTTTTGAGTGGCCGATTTGAGACTCCAGAGTATCGTCTCGATTAATAACCGGAGTCCACAAAATCAACCTTTAGAACATGCAAATGTATAGCCCTTTATTAATAAAAAACTTGATAATTATAATGGATCCTAAGCACTGCACTGGTTAGTAGCTTACCAGGTCTGGACTTGGCACTACTGTTCATATTCATGGGAGCCGTTCTAAAAAACAAAGATGGTCAGCTATTTTCAAATAAATCTTAATTTTTGTAAATCTTAACGGCCTAATTAATAAACATTGTAAACATTTCATATATAATCAACATATGAATTTTTAAATCTTTAATAAAGACAAAGTATTACTATCATTATCTTTCCTTTTGTTATAATACTATGAGATATAACTGTTTCGTTATTATACCGACTATTGAATATTAAATTACAAGCCGAGTTAAAATAGTTTTCAATTATAACAGGGGTATATATTAGTTGTGAAAAAAAAATCCAATATGTGCAACACATATTTTAGGAAGCATTAGAGTAAACTAGCTCAAAAACGAAAAATCGAAAAAATTGTCACATATCGTTTAACGAAGTTAATGGATTTCCAAAATGGTATCACACTTTACAATCCATTGAAAATTGAAAGAGTTAACCCTATTTAGCCGAGTAAGGTTAATAAAGGTTAAAAAAGGCCAAAAATGGCGGGAGAAGCAGTAAAATGGGTGGACCATTTTCGAAAATTATTTTAAAATGCTAAAATTTCGTATTTGAGTTAGTTTAACCCTAATGCTTCCTAAAAAATGTATCGCACACCTGGGAATTTTTTCGCCCCCCCCCCCTTTTCAGAGTCATATTTTCCCCAATTCCACAACTTAAATAACAGCTATAATTTGACAGGTTTCTGAAGCCCGCACAAACTTTGAAGAAGTTTGCTGCGGCGAGGGGGGGGGGGGGGCAGAGCAACCATTGCAAAGAAAATGATTGGATTCTAGTTGTTAAATGGAGCGTTTGGGTGCCCTAAAAGGTCAACTTCAAGGTCCCCGCTGAGTTTTTTTAAAGCAATTCTGATAATGTTAAAAAAAAATTGTGTGGTTTTCCCCTTCCCTCTTCCCCCTTTTAACTTCCCCTTTTCCCGTCCTTTTTTCCCTTCCTTTTTTCCCTTCCCTTTTCCCTTCACTTTTTCCCTTCATTTTCCCCCCCCAAACCCAATGAAAGCAACCAGAAAAATATACACCCCAGTAATTATACTAACAATTTTGGCGTTAAAATCACTTGAATATAACACTAAAGATTATAAGTTTAACACTAAACAAAATACTGAAATAGTTTGAACGCTAAGCTATTATCTAGTAAAGATAGAGAAAAAAGGATTCGATGTCCAAGTGGCCATTATTAATGATTAATTGATTGCAATTTCTTACCTTGCAGGAAGTCCTGGAAACTCTTCTTGTTTAGATTTAGTTCCATTGGAAACAGGTTTAGGATTAGAGACAGGTTTATAAAAGGGAACAGAATTCTGGGATGAAACGACCTACGTTTCAAATAAAACTCTTAATTAAAACATTATGTATAAGATTATACATTTCTTAGAATCCCTCCCCCCTCTTGGACCGAGGGTATAAAACAATGTCAACATGGATTCTGTTTATGTTTGGATTATTTTTAGGACTATTGGTGGGGTAAATAAGAGATTTATGATAATTCAAATTGTCATGATATTTTTAGAAGGACACATCCAATTTATCAAATTAGTATGTAGAACATTTTAGGTCAACAGCTTAACGAACATCTAGTACATACATTTTGTTTGATTTTCTTGACGAGGCGAGCTTTTTTGTAAAGTACACCCCGGCCCACCGCTCTCCTTCGGTAAAATTAAATTAAGAGTTTCATCTCCCTGAGCAGCGCCTGGTAGGGTTGGAAAATCTTCAATTAATGATGGAGCAGAGCCCCCTCGACCTGCCCAACTCTGACTTGCCCCAGTATTATGTCCTGCTGATTGTGCAAGCTTCTTGGCAAGCTCACCACTCTGAAAATATCAAGTTATATATCATTTATTTTATTCAAGAACAGACATTTTCCAATAAAGGACTTCATTATACTCATTATACTGTTGTGCAAAGTTAGCACCATTTTTCTCTATTATTTTTATAAAGTTATTAGAAATTATTTGAGTCTAGAATATGACATTTTAACATGAATGATTTAAATTATAATATATAATTCAACATTGGAAAAACCTTAATTATACTTTCCAAGCAAAAGGTTTATGTCTTTTTTTCTTTAAAAAATCTTATTTTCCACAAATTCATATTTTACAAAAAACGATCGCATTTTGAATTTCCTTTTAAAGAAAATAATTTTTTGTCAGGATAAATATTAAATTAGATTTCAATCGACGGTTTTCGGGAAGCATCTACAACCCTGATAAAAATTTTACTTTTCATCACTAGATAATTCTTTTTAAATTGTCTAACCTGAGCAAACCCTTGTTTAGGTGGAGGACCAGCTAGCTTACCAGGTCCTGGAGTTGGTTTTGTTCCACCCAGCGAGGGAAAATCTGCCACAAGATCAGGAACTAAACCAATATTAGGTCGGGAGAAACCATCAACTTGGTCAAAATATTCGGAACTAAAAAATGAAAAGGTCAATTAAATATCACAACTTATAGTAGACGAAACGTTAAGGGACTCTCCAGTCTCCACTGATAGAATGACATGTCCGATTCACAATGGTAATTTTAAAGGCTTTGTCTGATCAAGAATGCAGGAGATATCCATCTTTTTCGCCTTTGTAAACTGAGTGATAACTTTCAAATTTGGTTTTCTCTCTGTAAGTTACTAACAGGTTTCTGCAAAGGGAATGGAGATTTTTTCAGAACCTGACACTTCAAGCTAATAAAACGACAAAATTTCCACATTATTAAACGGATAGAGGTTTTAAGGGTGATGTTGCGAATCGAGCGTGCCCCTTTTAAATTAGGAGTCGCTTGAAAAGTCTAATTATAATCTTTTTTTTGCCAAAATTAATTCTAAATGAGATGTTTAGATGTTCTGCTAATTTATCAAGCTTAGGCTTTTCGAAAATATTCATAAAATTCTTCCAAAAAATAATATTTTGGCCTTTGGGTCTAAGACATAAGAAATTTATACCTTTGCTCTGGTTGTCTTTCTTCTCTTCTATTCCTCTGTTCCCCTCCTCCTTCTCGTCTTGAATATCCTCTTTGCTCATCCCGCCCAACCTCTCTTCTATATAAAAAATTACCGATAAACTTAATCAAAGAAGAATAAATACTTAAAATGACGTTAAACCTTCCATTTACTATTCTTCCCTCACCGAGAACTTTTCCCTAGATCAAAAGTTAGGAAAATTTCAAAACAAAAATTGAACTTGGTAAGTTTAACAATATGATATGGAGTAATAAGACCCCATAGAAGGAGATAAAAAAAACATAATTGACAAGGAGCGGCGTGTTTTAAAAAAAAACCAAGAAAAATCTGCTGCTTACCGTATTTAGTGTTATTTTTTTAACCTAAAATCAAGCTAAAATTGTTTAAGGAATGACGCGCCTTTTAAGACTAGTATCTATTAGTGTAACTATAAGGAGAGCCTAGTTTGTTTGTCAAATGAGGTAAATACCTGGAATAAGAATAATCTATATCTATTCTTCTATTCTGCTTAGAAGCTGCTTTGCTCAGCATATTCCCATGCCGCTCTAACCTGTGTGCTAAAAATAGTAGAAATTAAACCATTGAAAAATCAGAAATAGGAACTTTTCTTTTGATCTCCATCTTTTGCAGATCTAGGATGAATTTTATTCCTCCTTGATATCCCGTGATGCAGGGATAATTTTCATTGAGAGATCTTGTATTGATCCTAAAATTTAACAGTGCCCACATTTGATATCGATATCAATATCCACAATAAAGTTATTACGTCAGATCTGGGAACTTATGAGGATACTCATACTCTCGATCGCTTGATCTCGATATCCACAGTGGGCATTTTTTTTTTACTTTAAACAGTATCTGATCTGATTGATTTATTGATTTTGGATATACACAATCTCACTTTTCGCATTGATTCAACGCAAAACTTCCTTGCTTCTGATTAGTTTATCGTTTCCCACAGACAACACTTCAGGTTTTAAGAGTAAAGATGTGAATCCGACACGTCACTTTACAACTGGAGGCTCACTTTGAATAAAGTTACAGTCTTTTTAAATCAACTTGAACATTGAAGTTACCTTTGATGTCTATTTCAGTTCTAAAGACAACAAACTTTTCCTCTTCACATTCCTGCTCCTGGCACAGAAAATGGTCCTTCCTAAACATATGATATTTCTTACTACAAAAGGTTGTTTAATTAATGTATCAAATAGTATAAAATAAAATAAACTTGTTAAACCTTAGTATGGATTTTTAAGCTGAAAAGACTAAGTTTTTTAATATAATTATTTATTTATAAATTCTAACCAAAAGACAAATAAGTGTTTAAGGAGGAAATATTTAAAAACAGAGGTTGTGGGAATATTTCCCCCTATTCTAATAAAAAGAAATTACATTTTTATTGTTTTCTTATTAATCAAAACAATTGGTGGGGGATTTATAGTACTTTTCAACGATGAACTCACTTTTGGAAAAACTAAAAGTGATCTCTTTAATTTATTCTGTGACGTAGTAAGAGAGTTCTACACTTACTAATTCTCTTACGTAGATCAAAGTGAAAACTTAAACAATAGTAGGAAAGAGAACATGGGGGGAGGGGAGACGGGGTTCTTACCACTTTTCCCCACCCCCTGAAAGGTGGGGGATGATACCTTCCTGAAATGTTACAAGTTTTACTGTAAACAAACAACAGTTATTGTGAACTGAGGCCCAGATTTCATGCCCTGCTTAGAAATGCAGACTTCCCAAGTCTTCTTTATAATTTTTTTAAAAATAAAACCAACATTTGGGTTGTCCTTATACGTTAAAGTAAAACTATTGAAAATAAATGTTATTTTTGTATCTTGTAAAAAATGTAAATATGGGTAAATATCGCTAGTTTTTTTCTCTAAAATGTTATTCAGACTATATACCTTTTAACCAGTACATTATTGACCTGAAATGACTGCGAAGATCTGAATATTCTGAAAAGAAGAACTGTGCTCCGTCTGCATCACAGAAATGGCAGAAATAATGATCCTTACGCAGATGTTTATACAAAGTTTCTTTATCCACAAACCTAGAAATAAGAGAAAATCAAAATTTGACCAAAGAGGGAAAAGAAATAAAAAAGGGTTTATGAAAAAGTGTGAAATATAAAAGGAAGAGAAGTCAGAAAAAATATATTCTTTTTCTTCAAACTTCTATTAAAAAAGACACAAAAATTAAATCAAAAATCACATTAAGTTACAAATGGCTTTTCGCGATACTCTCTACTTGATAAGGAATATATGTTACTAAGCTTTTAGGGCGCTTCGCGCCCATCTTCTTTTTCAACTTTTAATTGTGGCTTTATCTGTGAGCATCTTCTCTTTGTTAAGTATAAAACAAAAACAAAAACAAAAAAAGTTTGCAGATTTCATAATATTTTGTCGAGTATTTTCAAAATATTACAAAACTAAAAACTTGCACAAATTTTTAAAATTTTGATCATTCATAAACCTTCCTTGGGGTCACGAAAATTTGGGCCCGATTTGTTCCTCCGTTTTGTCGTTTATTGGATACAAACAAACAGACAAACACCAAAACAGACAGACAGATAGACAAGCTAAGTTTATATATAGATATGAGATCAGTAGTAACAGCTCTGCATAAAAAAAAACAAGAAAAATTAAGCCCTCATTCTTTTAAGACAAAACAATTTGGCAATGAACTTTGGCAATGGATGCTTAATATTTAATATTGGTAATGTAAGAAAAATATATTATTCAGAAATATAGAAGAAAACTCAATTCTCTTCCCCAAAACTAGCCTAGAAAACAAATAAGTTTCTTAACAATCATTAGAGATTTTCCGTGGAAAGTCAGAATGGGAAAGAGAATTAAGCTTGAATGTTCCCTGCGGGAAAATCAAAAAAAGAGAAAAAAGTCTAATAAGATCAATTTTCCCGATAAAATCAAACACTCGCTAACAAACTGGGGGTAAAAATCAACTAACTTTACACCAGGTTGGGAAACAGAGAAATTAAAGGGACAGACCGGCAATGTAGGGTAGTTAAACTGAGTATGCAGTGTTGTGGACAAATTCTTTAGGATTCATTTGAGACATACAAAACTTTTCCACGATGTATAATTATTAATTACTGAGTTTGAGTGCATAGTCGACGTTCAAAATCATGAATTTGGGTGGGTACGTTTTCAGAATCGGTTTTTTAAACTTATTAAATAACGACGACGAAAAATAAAGTAAAAATTATACAGTAAACTAATTACATGGTTAGGAACATATTTCTTAAAAGAAATTTGTCAAAAAATCAATGCTAGAATCAATTATTTCGTTTTCATCATTATATTGAATTTTTTATTTTCTATGAAGTTATTCGCAGATTTCTACAAATTCTTCAAATGTCATCTTTTCAATAATAATTCCAGAAAATCTGCAGAAAATCTTTGTGAATAATGAGAAATTAGAATAATGGGAAAATATAAACTAATACATAATAATAAAACAAGATTACTTATTTTCAAAGATAAGATTAATTTTTATTTTCTCAACTTGTTCCTTAACAACTAATTAGTTTACATTTTGTGTCGTCGTTATTTAATAATTAAATAAAAACAATTCTGAAAACATATTTACCCAAAAGTACGATTTTGAACATCAACTTTGCGCTCAAACTCTGGATTCAGAGATCTTTAAAAAGTTTTATATGCCTCGAATGAATCCTAACAAATTTCTCCACAACACTGCAAACTCAGTTCAACTACCTTACATAGCCGGTCTGTCCCTTTAAGTAAGAATCGTTTAATTGATTATTATCTCCGTTATTTTTTTTTTTGATTAAATAGAAGATGAATTTCAAGTCGTCGCTGAACTCCGATGTACATAGGGACGACAACCTGAATGTGTTTCTACTAACCTATGCTCGCAGAACTCGCAGAGGGGATGACCCTTTAAACTTTTATCATCTTTATCCCCGACTCTTCTATGCTCCAGTAGTCCCGCCTTGGGAAAAATGTATATATTGTATTAATTATAGAACTAGACTCGATTCAAATCCCAGCTCACAAGTCCGAATTAACTAATGACTATACTAAAGACAAACACAAAAAAATGGCAAAATAAGATAATTTTTTATGGAAAGTAAATAAACTTAGGGGATAATGTAAAATGTACACATAATTGCAACTTTAAGTCCCAAAACAAGACCTCTTTTATGAAATATATTATTCTGTAAACAATTCAATACAACATTTGTAAAAAGGATTTAATTATCAATTAAATCTCACCTTATCGTAATATTTTCTCTCGTGTGTGAACATCTAGAAAATTAATTATTAATAATTTCATTTTTTCAGTTTGGTCGGTCCAGATGTTATCCAAGTTATCTATATATAATTTTGGCTTGTCTTGGTGTTTGTCTGTTTGTTTGTATCCAATAAACGTTAAAACGGCTGAACCGATCGGACCCAAATTTTTTGTGGGACATCACGTGACCACAGGGAAGGTTTACGAATGATAAAAATGTGTTTTAAAGGTTTTAATTTTGTAAAAAAAATTTAGATTCTTGAAAATCCGCGAAATTTTTTTCTTTGTTTTAAAATGTAAACAAAAAGAACATGTTAACAATTTAAATAGAAGATGGGCGCGAAGCGCCCTAAAAGCCTAGTTTTATAAAACTAAACCTTGCTTCAAACTCAATCAAAAGTTTGGATTAGTGGCTTTAAAAAAACACTTTACCTTAAGATCTGACACACAAAGATCACAGTATGAGAAGTGATGGTCAGTTCTCAGATGATTGTCCACCTGCCGAAAAGTTTTATAAGTTGGCGAGTCCTCACAAATCGGACAAGCGTGGGCCAACAGTCTAAAAATATATAATAGCTCATACAAATGGAAGTATTGTTGGTTGATCTGAATATCAATTGACAGAAAGATAAAATTCATAAAAATATTTCTGTTAAGCTAAGATAGCTTGCTAATGAAAGATGGACTGGGACAGATGAGACAGCCAGCAGCCCACCCAGATGTTGTCCTGGTGTTTATATTGTAAATTGTATTTGTAAGATGTTGCCCATTATCTTCCTGAGTAATTATCTGAAGCTCTTTACCATTTTAGATAACAATTATACAATGAGATTAGTCATTTATTGAGTAAATAGCCAATAGAACCACCAGGAAAACATCCTTATAGTCTCACTTACATTTATGTTTATTGATATTTTAAGCCATTGTAGGCATTCTTATCTCAAACCTAATAAGTATGTTTGTGATAAATTTTCAACCTGTCAAAGACCTGACGTTGCAGGAAAGTGATTCTATATATCTGTTACAGATAAATATACGAGTTCCCAGGTTAGAGCCGGACGTTTTAAAGGTGTGGAGCATAGGGGCGTGGCTTATATGCCTCGATCGGAAGAATCCCTAAGGTTTGTAGATCAACAATTTCATAAAAATAAAATTAAGTAATTTTTACCTAAAATATTCATTCTTAATCTCGTCAGTCTCAAAGCAAACTTTATGTTTCTGATCCATTTGAAAAATATTATCCTTCACTTCCTCGTACTTCTTATTCTCAGATATCATAATTACCTAATCAAAACACTTTAATAATAAGCTTTACTTCAAAATCCCCTCCCTCCCACAATACAAGGTGTAATTTGGATAAGGATTAAAACCTTGAGAATATATTTCAAGCAAAAATGAAGCAAAAATGTCCATTAATAAAAATTTCAGCTTGTAAAATCAATATTAAGCTCTTAGCTAACTTTTTAAAAATAATAAAGTAAAACAAATTTATGATATTACAAAGTATCAGAATTTAATGTGTTTTTTTTTTCATTGTTTTCTTTTGTTCGGTTTTTCACCTGATGCCCCTTTTTTACCTTAGGTATATCTCTCCTACAAATAGCACACTCATTTTTCTGCATGAGAACGCGCATTCGTGTAGCACACGTGTGGCACACCGGGTGGTTGCACTCACCGATGGCAAAAATACTTATCCTGAATTTTATTCTTATTACAGTTTTTTTTCAACAATGGTATTTTATTTTTGATCTTCTACTGACAGTGGTATAAAATTTACATATTTTCCTGAATTTTTTTTTTTCTTTTCTTAGATATGTGTACACTGTACATTTTCAGATAAAAACGGGTCCTCCTGAAGTCCATCTTCTTTTTATACACTTGGGATATTTGTTCATAATAATACCTCCAAATCACCCCCTTCCAAATATGATTTGATTTTATGTTCAATGTACTTGTATATTACGAACAAAAAAGAGAAAATGTTAACCCCTTTATTTGTAAGTGAAAAATATTACTTGTAAAGGCAAACATTGCAGTTTTCTCCTCCCCCTTCACTCATCTCAGATTCTAGTCGAGGTCGTCTTGTTTCTTTATAATCCAGGTTCTCAATCTTGGAACCACGATTTCCACCCTCCGACCCCCCTCCTCCTTTATCTCGAGGACCCTTATCCACCCCTTTACCAGAGTGCTCATTGTCTCGACCCTGTCCTCCACCCCAAGGATTTCCTCCACGTCCAGATCCTCCTCGTCCTCCCCGACCCCCTCCTCCTCCCCCACGACCTCGCCCTCGGCTTCCACCGCCCTGCTTCTGACAAAACAAATAAAATTAAATTCGGAATAAATTAATATGCAGGCTTCTGAGTTAAAATCTAAATTATCAGAAAACGCCACCTAGGGAATTTAAATTAAATCCATTTAAAAGAAATTGTAGAAATTAAGTGCATTTTAAATCGATCCATCGTTACTGTAGGTTCAAAGATTAATCAAGATTATTCTGTGTTTTTTTTGCGATATTTTTTAAACCGTTGATGGCAGGGTCCGCAGATTTTATGAATTTTCCTTAACAGTCATAAGATATGTTTTAGCAAAAAAATCAAAGCCTTAAGTGAACTGTATAATTGCTCAATTACTGCCTAAAAAAGACTTTTCGAAGTAAAATCAGTAAAAATTACATTAAAAAACTTTTTTGTGTCGCAATTTGTTAAAAAATATCGTCAAAAAAAACAGAAGCAGATTAGAGTCTTGAAATGAAATTTTTGTTTAATTTAAGACCTGTAAATGCACTTTATTTCTACCATTTTTTAAAAATTGATTTACTCAAAATTCCCTTGGTGGCATTTTCTGAAAATTCAGAATATAACTCATGGTAGCCTGCATATAAACATAATCGAAAGAAAAGGTTTAATTAAGTGTTTTGACTTGAAACCTAATGGTCCATTTTCAGCAGTGTGACATGCAACATATTTAATATACTTAATGTGTTGTTTATTTATATGAATTTAGCGTGTTCTAACATGGATAGTGAATGATAGAATACCTTTCCTGCTCCGTCGGACATATTGGTTTTCGAGTCTGAAAATATTTAATGTGAATGGTGAGCAGTTCTAAGTAGAAGATTTAATCATTAAAAATTTCATTAAAAATCATTAAAAATTACATTTACTATATTGGGGAAAAAACAAGGAAAACTTGAACAATTATCTGTCCGTCCTAGAGAACGATTATTCAAATAATAGAACTACATGCATACAGTAACATAAAAATGGAGTTTACAATATGGGAAATTTCTTAATTTATGATTTAGGTCTCACAATTTGTGATCTAGAATTAGTTTAGAATGATCAGTAGATAAAAATACCCGTTTATCCTTATGCTTTTCTATATAATAAAATTGTACCGCTGAGTCAGTCAAAGACAAAAAACAACAAAATTTTGAAACCATGAAGACTAGAGCCTCAAGAAGTTGTTAATACAACGAAATCAAATATGGTTGATTTACATGTTCATGCATCTATATAAGGTGTCAATCATTTAAATTATTAGGGTGATATTGTGCAATAACGTCTCAAAGCCATGGGTGTTGCTCCAGGTTGAATAAACGGGTTGCTTCGGTATTTTAAGTAAATGTCGCAATATCTTGAAACACGTATGTGCGCAAAATCTTTCATATGCCGTGGAATTTTTCATTGAAGAAGTTTGCTTGTCAATCAACTAATCAAATATTGTTATGTAGGTGTCATATCAAGAGGACTATTGATAGATTAAACAACGTTCGTCTTGACTTCTCCTTATTTGGTCGAACGTTCAAAAGGACCGCGCCTTAGAAATAAACTTCTGCAATTAAAATAATTTTTCAATATTTACAAAATTTGTTTTTTAAAAATATATATATATTTTGACAGAAAAATTGTATGCACTGCAATTGTCAATTATCAAGAGGACTAATTCGATAGATTAAACTACGTTCGCCTTGACTTCTCCTGATTTGGTCGAACGTTTCAAGAGGATCATATCCTTTAAAGTTTTTTTTTCTGAAATTCAAATAATTTATCATTTTTTTTCAAAATAATTGTTTGTAAAAATCTTAATTAAATATTTTGACAGAAAAAATTGTACATGCACTGCATGCTTAAATATCTGAGTGTTAGTGTTAGGTTACGACAGTTGTTAGTCGACTAGAGTCCTAGAGGCCCTAAAGAATGTGCCAGTCTTGCTTCAGCTTATAGTAGACAGGTCGACAGGGAGCATTTAGTACGTCCCTGGAAAATTGCTTCCCAGCTGCAAAGATTGTCGTTTAGTCTGGTGACATAATTTAATATTTTTTTAATAGGGGAATTACATGGTGTTCCACCTAATATTAGATCGTTTATTTAGCTCTAAATTGATCATTTAAGGGACAGGGACTTATCAGAAAATTTAAAAGAATGAATTATGAAAAAATGTATAATGCTTAAATAAACATTTTCTTGCAGAAAATGCTAGATTTTTCAATAACAATGTGAGTATTTTGGCGTTAAAGCTTGGAGATAATCCAATATAATATAGGACTCTCTGTGATTAAGAACACAGTAGATACGTTTGACAAATTGAACGTTAGTTTGGTTGTTGAGATATACTTTGTACTCAAAAAGTCGTCTTCAAAAGAATCTGTGATTGACACACACCATACCAAAAAAAAATTACAAAATTTCATTTTGAAAACTGAATAAGTATGTTAAGTTTATAAATCATATGGCTAATTAAATTTACAGATTTTTTAAGGGAAGAATATACAGTTCTTAATTTCTCTCTCTCTCTCTCCTCCTTCGTTCTCTATCTGTCTGTCTGTCTGCTCTCTCTACCTCTCTCTAAACTGAACAAAACAGTATGGCTGACTTAACTATGGATGAAGAGCAAAGTCTACGTGAATGTGAGGCCTACGTGCAGATGCACGACATACAGAAAATACTCAAGGTCTTAATCTTTTTTAATATTACTACTGTCCCCTTTTTTACCTCTACATTATTAACATAATATGACGCATTAAGGCACTTTGGTGTATTATTTTTATATTATTAAAAATTTTTTAAATAAGATCCTATCATTCGTTCAAGTAGTTTGAAGTTGCTTGTCGTTTTATGTTTAAAGTTGTTGTAAACAGGAATTTTAATAATGAAATGAAAGCTGTTAACCCGCAAAATTCAGGCCATAGAGCTCCGGAAACTTTTTGTTAACATTTATTGAATAGGTTATCGAAATACTTGACTTTAAAAATTATCTGAACTATCTAGGGATCTGTCCTAGTGAACGATTTTTGTGTAAAATATTAAAATCAAAATGTACCTTTCTTTGTTATATATATATAAAGTTTAAAATAATTTTTGGACCCCCCCTCAGCCCCCCCCCCCTCCTATTAATTTTGTACATGACCATTTATTTTTCAGCAAATTTATTATTATTTATTTTTTTGTTATTTAGGGTTAGGTTAGGTTAAGACACTTTCTGGGTCGAGCGCTGCGGCTAGGATGGGCTAGGGGGCCGAGCGCTGCGGCCACGGGTTAGGTTAGTTAAGACACTTTCTGGACCGATAAATAAATGGTCAAGTACAAAATTGATAGGAGGGGGGGGGGGGGGTCCAAAAATCGTTCTCTAGGACAGACCCAAAACCTAAAAACAATAAAAAATTATAAAAATTATACGCAAATTTTCGTAAAAATACGTTTCTGGAAAACCTAAGCACTTAAAATAAAATGGCTTTGTATGATAAATACGTAAATATACGCAAGTTCTTTAGCAAAAAGTTGAGCAAACGAATTTTTACGTAAATATGCCTAAAAATACCTATACCTATATAGAGGCTTCAGTATTTTTAGTTTTTCGGGTTAGTAAGGTATATATGTTTTTTATTGACATCATAAGCTAAAATTATTACATGCGGAAAATAAAATACTTTTTATTTTTATAATATAGCAAAGGCCGTTTTTTTTACACCTACCCCTTTCATAATGATCTGTATTAAATATTTTAAGAAGTATTTAATTTCTTGAACATGCATTACCCTTTCCATTTAAAAGTTTAGAAGCAAACATATTCAAATATAATTTTGGGACAAATTGTGGTAAATAAATGTTTTTTTTGCTGAATGTAATAATATGGGTAAAATTGATAATTTTCATTTATTTATTTCAAATCTGTCGAAAATAATGATTTTTAAAAGATGTCAAAACTTTGATGAATTATATTGACGCACTAAGCGTAGTGTCAGAAATAATTTTTTTAACATATTTTTCCAAACGTTCTATAAATATTTGAGTTTAATTTTTTATAAAACTTTTTGTTCTGGATGATTGCAAATGTCAATCTAAAACTTTCTTAAACTGGAATATTTTTTCTAATAGAGTCTAGAGTATTATTTTATTCTAGAATTGCATTAACTTCATTCAGAAAATGTATTCTTTTCCGTACAAGCATGCAGCATGCTGTACAAACCTGAAAGGGGGGGGGGTGCACCCACACCAATTTGTAATCCCCAATCTACTTTATGGATAGTGCTTGTAACAGGGTACAGGGTCCTGCGGGGAACTGCAGGGTACTGGGGGGTACTGAAAGGTACTGGGGGGTACTGAACGGTACTGTAAGACCCCCAGTACCTTGCAGTATGCTTTTTTTGTACTTAAAAGCATGCTTATACTGAATGACAATAATGCAAAACTAAACTTGAATTAAGTTAAGAGCGTCGAGGATTCACTTGACTTCTGGAATATGTTTTACATTGTTCAGTGTATCCCACGAAACATAACAGTTGCAAGACGACATGATATTCGTGTCGTCTTTTAACTTTTATTTTATTTGTGACATTCAGTCGTCAACCCTACTTTCATATGTATGATTCTTGAAACAATATCTACAAAAATTTCCTAGTCCTGATAATTCCAAAATGTGGTCTGTCTTTTATGTGCTGTCAATATTACCGGAGATATTAAGAATTTCGTTCAGATTTCAACTTAATAAATAAAACCAACATTTTTGAAAACTATAAGAAATTCATGATATTAATAAGAAATATTAAAAGCACCACAAAGTGTCAAATTCAGACCACATTTTGGAAATACCAAGACTAAGAGTATTTAGATTAACTTAAGAATGTTAATTCTAAAATTATGTTTAAGATCGAATAAATGCTGCTAATTATTTCAAATCTCTAAGACGACCTTTATTTCGTTAGCTACTGTCTTGTTTCGTGGGACTATTATAGTTATTGCTGAGTAAAAGCCTAAGGACGAAATTCAAATTTATATGAGAAGGATTCGAACAGAGTTCACTTTAACGCATATTTTTAATAAGTAAATGATTCTATGAATCTTAAGAATTATTAAACACTTTGAAAACTTAGCTTACAAGGCAAATCCCTATCCTGAAAAGTTAAATATCGTTTTTTGGCTCTTGGGCAAATATACAACGCAAAACTATATTACCAAATGAATTCTATTCTGCGCTTCAAACAAGTAATTTTTCCCACTAACCGCCACTGTCGTTTAGTCTGGTGACAT